AAACGATTAGAAGATTGTCGTCTAAAAAAGAAGAGAAAAAATCATATGAAGCAAATCGTAAACGATTATGCCAAAGAAAGCTTTATCCAAATAATCCTCAGCCAACTCCAGAATCTTGCTCAAATTCAGCGAGAAGAAAAGGAATAGCTCGTAGAGCACCTTTTTATTAATTAAGGTCCTAAATCAAAGTACTAAAAGAAGTATTTTGTAGGATTAGTTCTTCTTGCACAATCCACGTATGGGTTGAATATCGATTCTAAAGCCAAAGGATTATTTTATTAATTAAGAGGAAAAGGTCATAAAAAGTGTTTGGTTTACTTTCTAACATCGATTGACTTCGATAGAAGAATGCTTTTCTCTGCATTTGATTAATTAAATCAATGTTAATTTGAAACATGTGCTAGGCATAAACATTTTCTCTGTATATTCATTTATACACACACGTGACAGTTAAGCAATTTAATGCTTAAAATCATTCCTTTCTTGTAATTGGTAATTAAATTTTATATATATATATTATTTTGGAGTAGGATCATTTCACGTAAATTTAAAAATTCTTATATTTGATCTAAGTTTTTTATTTAATTTATATTTAATGAATTATAATTTATTATTTTATTAATTATTAGATATAAATTAAATAAAAAATTTAAATAAAATATAAGAATATTTAAATTTATACTAGCGTAAAAAAATTCTTCTCCAATTATTTTTATAAAAATAATAATATATTAATATAAGTAATTTATGTAAATATTTGAACAAATTTTATATTAACCGTCAAATGCTTAATACAACCTTTCTCTTCTATTTGAGTTTAGGTCAATTATAAAATTATAGACAAAGTTTTAAATTTTTTCATAATAACTAAAAATTTAAAAAAAATAAATTCACGACGTCAATTATAGAAATTATTTTCTGTTCTTGGCGAAGAAGAATTAGATGATCATTGGTTGCGGATACTTCATTCCTGCAATTTTTAGTATTATTATTTTTCTATTCTAAATTTTTTGTATAATTACTCGTTTATTTTTATTTTTTGATTTTTTAACTTTTCATATTATCTCTTTAAAACTTAACATTTACGAGCTAAGCTGATAAATTAAATGATATATCAATTCCTATTTATTGTCAAATATTTATTATCATATTTAAAATGTGAAAATAGGTAAATTTTAGAATAGAATGTTATACTACTTATTTTACACCGATATTTAAAAATATATTTGTATCCATCTTGGTATCCACTTACTAAAAATTTTGATCATAATCTTCATTCTTGTTGTATATCTATATTTCTATATTCATACCTCCATTATTCACATTTTTTAAATGAAATATAAGTTTTCCCAACATTTTTTAAACAAATAAAACATAAATGTCAACAGTAAATAAAGATTATTTTAAAAAATACTTCAAAATAAATATGCAATTACAAATAAATTTATGATATATTTATTTATATATTAATGTGAGTAAATAAAAATAAATATTCATATTCATCAAATTTTGTAAATATTTATCATTCTCCAAATTTTATATTTTTTGAAGTTACGACGTATTAATAACCTTAATTATATTCATAACTAATTTAGTCAACAAAATAATATGTGCATCAACATAATACGTAATATATATTAATTATATTTAAACTAATTATATTTATCTGATTACATTCTATAGTATTTTAAAATTATTTTTTCTTCCCATCCAAATATATAGGTTTTAAAATACTGTATTTAAACACAACTTTAAGCTTTATTATGTATATATTGGTAAGTATTTGACCAGATAAGTCATTGGTTAGTTTAGTCATGTCAATAACAAATTCAAACAACGCATATTTTAGTAAGCTATTAAAATTGGAGGTGATGAATTAATGAGATCATTAGGAAACATGTTGACTAATTACAAATTTTACCATTTAAGAGATCAACGGTCTGAAAATTGAAGCATAAAAGGAAAGTTACCCAAAACAATCCAACGCGAAGGTCTTTAATTACTCAAATAGCATTCGAGGAGTGCCTTTCTATCTAACGTACGCATCTTCTTCCCACATGGGTCTGAACTTTGCGACTATATCCACATGCTACTGTGTCATTTTTTCAAGTTTCCAGATTCATAATCATAAAGGTTGAGAGGGCATCAGAAACTCTTATTCCTACAAGAAAGGAGGAAAAAGGTACAAAGTAATAGCAACAAACTTCAATTATCTAGCACATTCACTCTCTACACTACTACTCATGCTATTATTATTATTATTATCAAAATCAAAATATGAGTACAAGGGTACTCAGTTCAATACAAAGAAGATTTTATTTGTTTATTTATTTATTTGTATTTTTGTTAAGATCCTGATTCATATATAGCTAACTGGTCACGCTGTGTATTTTCATTGATGCATTGCTAGTGAATTATTCCTCAATGATTACTGGATCAAATGAGAGGCAAGGTACTTCACAAACTGAAGGATTGATGAATAATGGTCCTGAACAAGGAGAAGATTTGAAGCCAAAGCAGATGATGGAGGAGGTAGAAGAGTGCAAAACCCCAACTTGGTCAGGGAACCAGATACCCACCATGTTGAAGTGCCCACCAGCACCAAGAAAGATTAGATACCCACTTTCAGCAATTTCATCACAGAGGATGATGAGAAGATCCTTAACAATTGATGATGATGAGTTGAGCTTCTTTGAAGAGACAAGGCCAGGGGATGTAGAGCTCTTCTTCCAATCCATGTGTGAGATTGATGGGACTAACAAGAGATGCAAAAGTGTATGAAATTAATTCTTATTACTTTTAAATTTGCTCCATAATTGTGTGTGAATACTGAGTAGCCTCACATGACTTAGCTTAATCATTTCCAATAATATTAGGGTTTTAGTGGTTGGTTCTCTATGAGAAGGACTGTCGTTCATGTAATTAAGATTAACTTTCATATAAACAGATGAAAACAATATGGATGCCAACAATTGTTTTTTTTTTTTTTTACAATTTTACAATACATGAAACTTATTATCATGGATATTTTAATAGCATGTTTAATTCAGCTTAAATTTAAAGAAATTAGCGCCTTTTTCATACACTACATGGTATTATTAAATTAACAGTTTTTAATAATAAAAAAGGTATATTATATGAATTTTTTAAAATTAATGAATTTTAAAAATAAATATTTTATTATATTATTAAATTTAATTTAATTTAATTTTAAAAATAACATTTTTATTATTAAAACATAAATTATAAAAAATTTAAATTTAAATTGATTAAAATTTTAATAATTTTCTAAAAAGGAAAGATAAATTAATTTAATATAATGTAGTCATGATTTAAATTTTAAATCAAACTAATCCTATTAATAACATCAACAACAACACTAATTGAACCAAATACAAATAAACTAAAAAATAAATGCTAATTACAAGAAAAGATACATGATATATTAAAAAAAAAATATTATTATTTAAAATAAGTCTTAAAATTTTTATTTAATAATGATGACTTAAATTTAAAATATTAAGATAGATAATCGCTTAATTTTCTTAGACGCTCTTTTATAAAATAAAATAAAAAGCAATTATTTTATCAAAATAAATTAATCAAACATACATTAACCATGTCCCATTTTTAAACATAAAAGACCAAATTAAGTGGCAATGTCAAAGATGTTCCCATCACAAAAAAAAAAAAAACACTAATATAGTGGTAACTATGCATATGTTCTTGATACTTAAAACGACTATTCATTATATGAATTTGTACTTCCATAACTTGAGAGAGAGGGAGAGAGAGAGAGAGAGAGAGAGAGGTTCTAAGGTCGCAAGGATACTCTTTCAACGACCTCAAATTGGATCTTAGAAGCACCTCTTGCATTTAGCATCGCTTTAAATTATATTTCGAAATATGCTAAGTGAAATAGAATGGAACAGGGTTAATAAATAGAAGAAAATAAAGTTATTGTTTTTATCGTTTGAATATTTCTATGATAAAATGAAATAGAATGTATTGATATTTATCATACTTTATTTTATTTCATCGTATTTTAAACAACCAAGTAAAATTTAATATGATTACAGTTCATTCTATTTTATCTATCTTTTGTCATTAATTCAAGCACAGTTTTAATACATTCAGTCACAATTTATTCAAATGATAAAGTTTGGGGATTTTGTTTTTAATTTCTCTCCCTCCTTTAACTCTCAAAATGTCATAAAAGTACTTGATAAACGGATAGGTCATGTACCCCAAATATCCATCAAAATAGGAAAAATGAATTTGATAAAAACAAAATGTCAAGTAGATGAGCGAGTATTATTTTGTTTCAACTTAAACTCTGATACTTGAGACTTACAAAACAACATAAAGCGTCAAAACAATTACGTAAAAGACGAAGAGGGAGGAACCTGAGAAGCCCGCTTCCCTCCTAGTCCAAGAATCACGCTTATTCAGCCAATAGGATATAAACATTTGAGGGGCCAATCTTTATCTTTCAAAATTTAATCATGACTTAAATTTTATATTTAACCCAAAACTTTAAGCATTAAATTATATCTTCATTATTTATGTATCATTCAATTTCTCAATTTGTATTTAATATGAGACTATTTTTACTTACACTTCCTATCTCAAAAATATCCCTTCAAACGAGTCCCTTTCATACTTGTTCAAACGAATACTTATAAAAATAAAATTAATTTATAAAAAAATTGATTTATGTTATCTTCATATTTATTTATTTATGAATGTTCATTAAAAAGTATATCTTAACTATGTGAACGACATGCTAGACTTTTTAGTGACACAAACTGCGTGTCACATTCTGCAGTCTCACTCCAGAAGTTACCATTCACTTTTAACCCCACGTATCTACTTGATTTGTGGGCACTTGACACATATTCTCCCACACGTCAATATCTAGTACCACAAGCCTTGAGGCTTTGCATGTTATAAAGAGACATTCCCTTAACCATCATCGATTATTTTCCGTTTCTAGACGTTGAGGGAAGAAATAGCTAATGGCTCCAAAACGTGGTCAGAAAGTGGTGGTCAGATCCACCAGGAAAGTGGTGCAAGAAACCATGCAGGTTTCGGTTGTAAGTAGCAGCAAAAGATCAACCCGAGGAAACAGAGATCTTCATATAGGTGAAGAGCACGTAAGGATCATTACCGTTGAGGAAGTAACTCCACAAGCCCAAGAGGGTACAAGTACCACCACTATCACTACTGAAGACAAAACAAAGCAAGAAAATACTTCAAGTGATCAAGTCCAACATGAAACAGACGAACAGAGGAGACACACTCCAATGGGTGCTCAGACAGAGGAACCAAAAGAGCCATCCGCAAAAAAAGAGCAGGAGAAGGCTAATACCCAGGAAGGAAATGATGGTAAAGAGAAAAGGAGGAGGAAGAAAAGGGTGAAGAGAAACGGTGAAGGGTATCAGAGATACGTGTATAGGGTATTGAAGCAAGTGCACCCTGAAATGGGAATTTCTTCTCAGGCCATGACTGTTTTGAATAATTTAATGAATGACATGTTTGAGAGGCTAGCAGATGAGGCTGCTAAGCTGAAGAGTTACGAAGGACATATGACACTGTCGTCAAGAGAGATACAAGGAGCAGTGAAGCTGGTTTTGCCCGGGGACCTTGGGAAACATGCCATTGCTGAAGGAGCCAAGGCTGTGGCCAACTGTATATCCCACGATGCGTGACATTGGCTCAAGTCTTTAGGTTTCCACTATGTTTCAACTATCGTATTGTAACTTGGAAGGTTGCTGCCACAGCTGCGCGCTGTGCAGGTACCTGTGTTTATTTCGTTTTTGCTTTCTTTTTGGACAAAAAATGCAGACAAATGGAATGGTTGCCATTTGTGGAAGCTGTGTCACAGGTGTAGGGTACAGATAACTAATTGCCGCCTATAATGGGAGTTGCTACTTTTTTAACTGAATATTTTGGTCGGTCATTAAAAGTTTGCATTGAAAAACTTTCCAATTTCTTAAAAACATTACAAAAGTGTAAGAAATATTGAAAAAAAAAATGCCAATTTTGTGCCAAAACAAAATAGCGTCAATCAGTTACCGGGAAAAAAGGTATTTTCCGGATAGGACATGACCGAAAAGTAGAATCGTTGAGTCAATTGTCACGTAATAGTGTAATACGCCGAAAACAGAAAATGTAAATTACAAGACAACCGATTTGATTTGATTTGATCTTATATAATAAAAAAGGGAATCTTTTTTTTTTCCGAAGCAAAAGGAAATCTCAAACACCCAAATCAAAGAAAATAACTTTTATTGATTTCAGAGTCATGGCCTAAAATAAAAGCCATCAGGTTTCCCATGGTGCACTCGACATAAATACAGCAATCACGGCAAAAATAGGGGGAAATTTTTTAAGTGTGTACCGGGAAACGTCCAGGTGATAGAACTTGTTAGGATCTGTATTTTTCTAAGTGTGACCCTTTAATGTCAAAATTATTGTATAGAATAGGCACGTATCACTTCCACCACCGGTGCTTGACACATTGGACACTTTCTTCTACTTTGGAGCAAATCATTGGCACATTTTGAACATGTGCACATGTGCCCACATCTACAAGACAAGTACAACATGATATAAGTGATTACCATCAGGTACAGACAAAATTTCTAACTTGTCAAATTGATGCTGAATAGTACCTGTACAACAAAGAATCAATATTGCTTTCGTAGCATATACAACAAAGCCCTTTCCTCACACATTCCCATTTAGATTTATCGTCTGGTGAAACATGGTCATCTATTCCTGTGATGAATTTAACTTGGTCATCTAAGACTATCAATATGGAAAAATTATCCTTCTTACAAATTTACGTTACGGGTAAGGTAGAAAGACTGGAAAAAGGGATATGTAATGCAAAGGGGACAAAAAAAAAAAAAAGAATCTGACCTGATGAACCAGTTGAGCGATTTAGGGCTGCAGAGACTTCTTGTCTTATTGAGCGTTGTAACTCAAGTTGCATATCCATGCAGGCCTCCAATGTTCTCTGCATATTATTCATCCTTTGCTGTAGCCTCACCATGTCAATCCTCAAGTCATTAACAACATCCCACTCCTGCCCAAAAAAAAAAAACAATCAGAAAATTACTAAAATAATAATACAATTACAAGGTGGAAAAAGTTGGCAATTGAAGTCAAGACTATGGAGTACATCAGCTAAAGAAAAGCAGTTATGTCCTGCAAATGAACGCACAATTCCTAGGCGCTGATTATTTATGTCGTTCTGTGACCAATTTTCATGACGTGAGTGCCGATCCCATAAAGGCTGAGGAGGAGGGGTTGGTGGCAGGGGTAGGTCAAGTGAACTAGTAACAGTACCCTCGGGACCAACAATTGGATCCCTACTCTGTTGCCCCAAGTTTGGTTCCCCCAAGGGAGTAGAAGGGTTTGTTTCCTGCAGCCCCCATTCAACGTGAGCCTGACCTTGCCTTTCAACATATGACTGTATCAACTGATCAAGACTTTCACGAAAACTGCTGCGAAGGAGGTTTGAGACACTTCTCCTGCAAAAAGAAAATTTCGATAAATTACCATTTTCACTTTCAAAGAGATTTGCTGAAACTCCTGGTCATATCAACATACCTACTTAGCAGTTCCCTGAGTTCAACACTGTATACATTGTCATCTGCTGGAAAATAAAATCCATGAATTCTACCAACTGGAGCTACTTCGTTATCAGAAGGTCCTCCTAACCAAATTTCCACAGCCTCTTGAAAGCTACCATCCTCTTGCCACACTTCAGGGACTTCCTGCTCTTGCATACGAGAAATTTCTCCATCTTCACTTCCCAAGATGTTTTGGGGCCATTCATTAGACGCACTACTGAGCTGATTATCATCCACACTTTGCTGGGTGCTATTTCTCCATTCAACGTTAGTTTGATGCCAATCTCTTCCGTTATTTTCATTAACAACTTCTTCCTGTTGCTCTCCTTCCAGAGGAACAGATTCAATTGAATCTACATCATCAACAATATTTCCATATACACGATCATTGTGATTTGATAAATTGCTCCTATCATCACCCTGCTGAGATTGCTCAGTATGTACCTCACATAGTTCTTGCATATTGCCATGCTCCATATCTTCAATTTGCAAGCTTTGTTGGGTATGGTCATTAGGAGTATCTTCTGTTGGCATTATATCAACATTTTGTCCAGTGCCATCTCTTCTTTCACCTCTGATACTAGAAGATGATTCCCAATCTCTAGTTTCTACATAAACAGTAGAGCCTTGCCAATCTAAATTCTCGAAAGTGGTTCCCTGTGAATAAATTTGTTCACCTGTTATCCCAAGTCTGTCATTTCCCGTGTTATTCGGTTCAGATTGTTCAGAATGTACAGTTGGAACAGCTTGTGAACTGCTAGCTCCAGTTTGTTCCATTGAATTAAGATCAATATCACCGTCAGATGAGGTATCAGATAGATTGCTGGTTGCTTGACTGCAACCCAAATTGTCTTTTTTAAAAAAGAATCCTTCCCTGTTCAGAAAACAAGTTAACGTCATTGGCACAAAGCAGATACATAAAAACAATTTTACATGAAGGAAGAGGAAAAGACTGGTAGCTTTAAGCAACAAAGAACATTTCTAACTCATTTGCTTTAAGGGTAAATAAGGTAGAGAAGATTGATTATTAACAAATAACAATTTGAACTCATTTGACATAACATCTATTTCAAAATGATACTCAAGCTCCGGTTCCCTTAAACCACGGTGGGTCTGTCATTTTCTAACAAAATATACATTATAAAAAATATAGTTCATAACATTCTGTCATGATTTACTTTTTGACTAAGACTAAACTTTTCTTTTGGCGAACTTAAAAAATACATGGAAACATATGGAACTTTCATCAACATAATGACCAAAGCTATATGAAATAAACCACAAAAAGTGTAAGGAAGTAGTAAAAGACACAAAATAAATGTGCCCTTAATCTTCTTAGTGAAAAGATTCACCTTCTTCATTTCAAATTACTGTCTTGTTTAGAAATTTGCAATTTCTGTTAATATATATTAGATAATACTCCCAGTATTCCTGATTTACTGTCTTGTTTAGCAGAAACAATCTTATAATAACAGAAGTTTATCTTTTGTTATGTCAAATTCTATTGACCACATGTGAACGAATAGAGTAGATATGTGTACCAATCTGCTCTTGTATGTTTAGGTTGGAAAGAGTAAAGGATATATATCCAAGAATAAACTTATTAGACATTCAGAAGATGGAAAAAATAGCAGAATCTCATTACACATCAGCTATATGGATCCGAAATAGAAAAGGAATTCAACAAAAGATGTTTGACCAATTTAAGGGCAAAACAATTAAACAAGAAAAATAGGAAAGAGAAACAGAGAGTCTCAAATAGAAAAGTTGAGAGAAAGAAAAAAATCCAAAAGACCTCAGATAAAAATTAAATTTAGTTTCTTTTCAACTTAATTGCAATATGAACTGTATACCTTAGACCTGATACAGTCTGCTTTTGTCTCAATAAGCCTAATTCACTTTCTGCAATGGAAGCTGACCTGTTGTTACCAACCGATCTATCATTTCTCAAGAACCTGCCTCTAAGCAAGGCCTGAAAATATTATAATAAACAATCATCAATTGCAAGAGCAAAGGTCAATTTAAATCAAGTCCTATATTTCAAATTCTTAGTTCAAAGGTATTCAAATTTATAGTAATTTTTCGTCTCTTCTTCCCTAGGTTGTCTAAATTATTCGCATTCTAGATTCTTGGAATTTTTCTATTCTATAATGCATACTACAGTTCTACGTTCATTGTGTCTCTGATGAAACTATTATACTTATAGTTCCCATACAAATTGAGCATAAAAATAAACCAATGCGTTGACTTAAGGGTACCTTCTAATACTCTAAAGTAAAGAAAATATTTTTAGTTAAATGGAAAAAAGGTCCAGTGTCCATACATTATACATTTACAGGACTGGAAAAGTAAGGAACTAATACCTAAAAGATATCAACCATTTAGTGGACAGACCTGAATGCGATTGCGGTGGGGGAAATGAGATACGGCTCGATGGTCCAACAACTCTTGAACTTCTCTATGCCTTTCCATCTCAGCCTTCTTAAGCATGTCAAGCAGCACCTGTCGGCCACGTAATTTACGGATTCCCCTCCGTGTATGCTCAGTTTGACCCTCATTCTGATTAACGACAAATCCATCACGAACACATTCAATTTGGGCACCACTTTCAGAAGATTGTTCTTCTCTATTTTCGCCAAAAGACACACCTCTCTGCTGGCTACTCATCTGAACCCACTCCCTTATGATACTCACCCTTTCCTGCTCAGTTTCCCCAAGCCATTCTCCCCTTGAACCGTTATTTTCTCGGGAAACATTTGATGCATGATCCGTCGAACCATTATTCATCCATTCCCTAAAAATTTGTCTGACTCTTTCCCTCTCAACTTCCCCAAAATCGGAGGAGTTTTCACGGCTAGAATTGTTTAATTCCTCCTGTTCATCATTGAACTCATTCTGACTTTGTGACCACGTTTCAGAATCATTCTCACCCAAAACTGCATCTTCTATCATATGTCCTTCTCTCTGAGGGCTATCTGCCATATTTTCCTGTGCGAGGTCTGCAACCGACCCATCACCCCTTTGTTGAAGTAATACTTCCCCAGGTCTTCCTTGAACTTGTCTCACTACCTGCTCATCTTCAATCTCTCGCCACATTTGCAAGAGCGAAGACGATCGGGTGCTTCCTCTCCCTCCATCTTCTTGCCTCCCAGATGATTGAGAATGGGATTCCCTTAGGAAAGTAGTTTCAAGCACAGTCACATTATGCAGACCAGCAACAGCCATTTCTGATTAGTTTTATAACAACACACAGATCTTCTTCAATCCATCTGACTCAAATGCACTAAAATTTGCAAATCAGCTGGGGAAATCAAAGACACTCAAAAACAAGTCATTTGACTATACCATGGATTTGAATCACGTTTCCCATTTCCATTGCTCTCCCTGCTATCATCATCGTCAATGTCAGGCCCATATCAAGCAAAATAATTACAAAGTTGAAATTTCACAAATTCTGCAATAGAATATGTTACTGCTAAGTGCTAACAATACTAACTCTGCCAAAAACAAAACAATAATAATAAATAAATAGATCAATTTATTCAATTTTTATTCTCTAAAAAATAGCATTTTAAATTTTCCATAATTAAATGACCAAGCCAAGATGAGTTTTTAATTTCTATATCTGAATCAGAAACCGGCTAAGCTAAAATTCTAAAAGAATGAGAATCTCAAATTTTCAAGAAAAAGCAAAGTAGCATTGCAGATCATTCAATTTTCCGACACAAAAGAAAAAAAAAATAAAACAGAAATTTGAATCAGCAAAAACACAGCATTTGAGTATTGGAAGCAAATTCAACACTGAACGTACCAGTGAAGTTATGCCTCCGACTTCGAAGTAAACAAAAAGAAACCCTATCTCTGAATAAAAATCAGAGAGAGAGAACCAAAATGGAAGACACAATTGAGTGAAACAGAGAAAAGAGCAGCGAATTTAGAAAGAATGATAAATGCGGACACGTCATCAGCGGCTGCGAGACTTTTCCTAATTAGAAAAACGTCTAATTTTTTTTTTTTCTTTTTGTTTTTTCAAAGCAGATATCATTCCAGTGACACGTGGCGGTCTCTCTTTTGTTCCGGCCATTTGACGAAACGTTCCAAATCTTAAATCGAACGTGAAGTTTGAAAGAAGCCAAATCAACGGAATTTCAACGACGTCGTTGCTGGTTAATATGCATTCTAAAATGGGGAAGGTGATGCTGATTCGCCTATGAAAAACTAAATTAGCTCTTCATTTTAACGCATAAGAAAAAAAAAAGGTTATAATTTATTTTTCAATAGGTAAAACCTCAACACAACAAGATCTTATTGCTTTTATGGTTAAAACGTCACAAATACAAGTAACTACTAACGACTATAGATATGTAAATAATATATCTTTAATTTATTAACGGAATAAAATAAAATACTTTCATCCTTGTAATAAAGTAGGTTCGACAACGATTGGGGACTATATGTTAGAATTGTTCTACGACCGGAATAAGAGGAAAAGCTTAATCAATAACTTTTAAACTGTAAAAAATTATTGTGAATGATGAAGATGGCCAAAATTCAATTATTTCCGATAATGCATTGATAGATAATTGCTGTAATCATGTGGTCATTCTTTTTATATAGCATTCAGTTCTTTCTTTATTAGATATTTGGCAAATTAACTATCATTTGGAGTAGCCAAAGGTGTGTGAACCCTTCTCATCCTCCAAATATTGTATCCTTAGTACGAGTCAGAGTAGGTAAAATGGGTTATTTTGTTTATTTCAGTTGATTTATTATGAGTTTTAACATATCAAGCTTAAAAATGAAAATTCAGTTTAAGTTCATAAAAATAATATTTAAATTTAATAAAGTTGAATTTATTTAATAAAGTATTTTAGCTTTTTATGGATTTAGCTTGTATTAAATTTAATTAAATAAGGTTAAAAATATTTGAATTTCATTTAATTTAAGTTTAAAAAAAACAAAACTTAATACTTTTATTGAAAAGTTCAAGCTAATTCAATCGAACAAATTTATTTTATGACCTTCATTAACGTATAACCATTTAAGTTAGAGATCTATTATATGCATGAAAAAAAATTTAAAACATTTGATAGATTTTTTTAAATACAGACATCTAAAAAGAAAAACAATAGATAAAAGGATATTAAAAATATATTTTTTTAGATTTTATTTTAATTTTTTTATTTATTCATTAAAAATTATTACAAAAATATATAAATTAACTTCGTTATATTAGAAGTAGGATTCTAATCATTTTTAATTTTTACAATTATAAATAATATATTTAAAATAGTATATTAATAATGTGTTATTGGTACTTTTCACACATAGTGAACGATAATGTCATTTAAATGTTATTTTTTTAACATAGTTAAAGTTATTTATTAGAGATGATTTTAATTTAATTTTGAATCCTTTTAAAATCTAGCAGTTTAGGTCAACTCTCATTGACGTGGTGGAATGAAAAAAATATATAATTATAATAAAATATATTTAAATCAAATTAATTATTAAAAAAAAAAAAAACAAGACAACTAAATATCAGGGTATGAGAAGGTATGGTCATGATGCTGTTCTAAAAAGGCTGCATCCAACACATGCACGCTTTTGTGGATGCAGACCCCACCAACAAATAACAATTGGTTCATATAAGTTCCTAAAATCCATAGATAGATTCGGGTATCTGTTAATTAAATTTTATCCAATTGAAGAAAAACCTAAATAAACATAATCTGCTAAACTTGTCTACCTAAAGTTGCTTCAACCTAATCATCAGCTTGCTTTATATGTAACATACACGGCAATGCCCTTTTAACTTTATGGTTATTTTTATCTCGTACATTCAGGTTTCTTGGAAATTAATTAAGGCAAATCCCAAAACATTTTTTTTATAAGGCCACCACGTAGCCTATTAAATTAAGGTCCCTTGTCTCAACCCTACCTTTCTGCCTTTGATTTATTATTGTCTTTGCTAAGTGACAAATTTCCGAACATATTGCACGCATGCTCCGAAAGACGCGGGAAGAGCCATGTTCCTTTGTGTTAATGCATCACTATCAACAACTCAAATGAGCTATTTTTTTTTATGTAGTATGGGTATTTACAACCGAGAAGGTTTTAATTCTAATTATTTCAGTTGCTTGTAACTAAACCATAAATAATATCTATGAGCTCCTCAATCCAAATGTGCACAATTGCACAAGCTAATTTAGATGCCAGTTGAGAGAGAGAGAGAGAGTCGCACATCACAGTACAAACTTCTGTTTAGAGTAGCATGTACATTTACTGTCCAACCGTATCTTAAACAAAATGATTTCCTATGAGATGTTCGTAAAAAAATAAAATAACACGATGACACATGATAACAGAAAGTGTCTTGCCATTACTTAAAATAATCGAGATAACTAAATTATTCTCTAGTTTTGCTCTTTTCACTATTGACTAGTATATTGATGGTCAGTTCACTGTTCTAGTCAAGTTTATAAAAAATTAACAACGGTAATAATAAATGTTCAAAGTCAATTACAACAATATAATAAAGAGGTGAAAAATGTCTTAAAACAGTTATAACTAGGAAGTACAACTTTAAATAATCGCTGAATAAGTAATTGACATTAACAGTTTAGGAAAAAAATGAAAAAATAGAAGTAAAAGTGGATAAATCCCCACAATATATTATGACACGAAACTAAGAATTTTCAGTGTTCTTTAACACTAATTTTTTATCTCAAGTCTTATTTTCCATATAATGTCAGGCATTTTATTAATATTATAATCTTTTTTCAACTCCATCATTTCTTATCTAATTGGCATTAATCGGTTCAAAGAGTAGTACCATGAAGACAAGGTGATTGAAGAAAAGTAAAAATATACTCTCTAAGTCACCAGCAACATGCCAAATTTCACATATTTCAGTATGATCTGGGTGTGAAATGATGTAGGTCATGGAGCCAAATTATCGCCAAGGTTATGTTATACTTGCTTTAAAGCTGTTGTATGATATGACATTCTGAATTATCACACTCATTTTATGTTTTGAGTATAGAGTCCCTTCAAATTTTTTCTCTGTTTCCATCTCTGCTGATCAAAGAGATATTTTTTGTCATAGTTGTTAAATAAAAGTAAAGAGTTTTAAGGTTTTCACCTTTCATTTTGCATTAAAATTATTGTGATTCTATGATGACATATGGCACTGTGGCTGGGGGCAACAAAAAGGCTTGAGGCTTGCAAGTTGCAACATAAAATGTGTTGGGGTGGGGGTGGGGGTGGGGGGGCAAGAGTCATTTTCCTTGAGATAATTAGTATTGCTTTGCTTATGAGGCCTATTTCCTCTCATCATTACCTTTTACTTTTGTGTCAAACCTTTAATCATTAGGTGAAAGTTGAGGTCACGGCCCACCACCAACTACACTTCACCTGCAACGGATACAAGTCACCTTGATAAATGATAATTGGGTTCTATATTTCTAAGACATATTTGAGGACTTAGAAATATATTTGGGTTGTTCTTTTTTTTGTCATTGTCTTTGATTTGGATTACATATTTGTCATCTTGAAGCCCAAAGTGTTAAAATTCTTTTTTTCTTAGTCTAGATTGTGAAAGGTCTGTTGGCAATAGACCCCTTTTTTTTGTCATAGTTGACAATAAGGCCTTGACACCCAATGGTCCACTCTTTTTATTGCTATGTGTAGGTGTGGCCCTTTATATTAGGTACTGTTGGGTCTTGCAAGTGGTCTTGAACCTTTGGTTTGAAAATTATAACAAAGTCTTGGACTCTTGAGATTCGTAATTTTTTAATTGAATTTTTTAAATAAATTTTAAGCAAGTTCTCCAAAAATTATTTGTATTTCATCTGATATATTTATTAGTAGTTTATTATTTTTCTTCAATGTGTACTCGTGTAGTATTTAAGTTCACTTATAAAATATGACATGTAATTTACGTGAATAATGATGTGACATTTACACTCTCATTTTTTTATATTTTTAAAATTCAATTTTGGGAGTGAATCTTAATTTTATAAGTTAAGATTTTATTAGTTAATATTAAAAACAAAATGTTATGCTGTTAATGACATATTTTGTTCATCTTAAATTTTAGTTGAGTCAACTCAAATTCTATATAAAGAGATAAGATAATGAAACAAATTAATAAATTATAAAAAATGTGATATATGTGAAAATTAATTTTACATTAAATAAGTTAAATTTGAGAAGTACAAAAATCATTATTTTTTTTAACTAAAACCTTACTTAAACAATAAATAAATAAATATTGTGATTTTTGTTTGAAATTTGTTGATTGCTATAATTGTAAGTTCTTTTAAAAATTTTCAATTAACAAGTAAATATACTTGTTAATTATAATAAAACAAAATAAATAGATAAAAAAAAAACAAAAAAAAATATCACACAGTAAAGTTATATGGAACTACATTTCTTTTTGTACCTACTTAGATGTGTTTCAATTCATACTTATATTATTGTGTTGTTATAATCACTAATTATTTAATTAGTTATTATCATTATTAGTTGATTATGCAATAATGACAATCTTATCACTTAAGTTTTACCCTAATAATCATGGACAATAACCATTAAATATAAGTATTGAGGTTAAGATTATTTGTTAAATTCAATTAATTAATCTGAAGAAAATAAGTTACCTTTAAATTCTTATAACTTATTAATTATATGATTTTCTATCAATAATTATCTAAAATTTATTCTTAAGTGATAGATTTAAGAATAATAATAATAATAGAAAATAAATAACTATAATAAACATTTAGCATCAATAGCATAAAACCCATTAGCAAAACAAGATAACTACCTTAATTCATAGCTTAATTCTTATCATCAAGTTATCGGCTAACTCAAGTTTTATTTTGAGTATTTATTCGGGTGGTCGTGTAGGTTTGAGTGGTTTACAACTTAGTCAAGGTAAAAGGCAAAAAAGAAAAAGAAAAACTAAGAGAAATAAAATGAGTCTAGGAGAAAGTAAAGCAAAGACAATAAAAAATACCTTTAAGGTTAAAAAAATAAAAAAATAGAAGACTAAAGAGACAAAAAAAGGGAGAAGAAAAGTTACCTTGTATGCTATAAATATAATAATAAATTAATGACATAACACCTTACTCCATTTTCTTTCTTAAATAAATGAGATATAGAGATGTGAGTACAAAAAAAATAAAAAATTGAGTTAACAGTGTGTAAAAAAAAAAAGATAAATATTTTAAAAGATAGCTCGTAACTCTCGTACGAAGCTTGTTTTGAAAATATACTAATTTTACAAGGATACATAACACACCGGTGGCATTCGGCAACATTTCGATCAACACTTTTTTTATGTGGTAAAAACGCATAAACTCAAGGATATTTTTGTGAGTACTCATTTGCAAGTTATATGTGTTGACTCAACGGTGCATGGTTCAATGCAACTTTAGATAGGAATGTATGATCGTTTATCAATATATATATTTTTTTTTGCCAATAAATAGGGCTTACAGCCCAAAAAAAAAAACACACACACTAGGCCTCCAAGTTCCTAAAGAATCTCTCATCAAAAGGGGTTCAAGGCCTAAAAGAGTTTTTTCAAATATGTGTGAGGGAAATTCCAGATTTAGACCTATCAGTGACAGAAATGGTTTGCCTCTTTAAGGATAGTTTAAACGAATAAAGTGAATATTTTTTTTAACAGTTCCCTAATTTTATTAATAACAAAATAAAAGATATGATCACTGCTTTGAACATCCACTATAAGAGAAATAGCTACTTTTGAATCTCCTTTTATCCAAATGGTTTGAATATTTTTATTGATGACCAATTAAAGGCTCCAATATATTCTCCAAAGTTTTGCAACAGTGAGGTGACAGATTTCAAGATCTCTGACAAACCCAGCCATAAAATTTGGAGCAGTATCACAAATTAATCCTCCACAACTAGTAATACCTAAAGAATGAGAAACAATGCTGTTAGTATTTAGTTTCATCTGTCTATCCAAGGGGGCAACCACTTAACCATAGTATTGGATCTTGAATTCCATAAAGATACTTCTTAATCGTTTATCAATAGTTAAAAAAATAATAGTTAGTCAAAATAATTTATTAAAATTTGAATTAATCTAATTTAAATTTAGTTAGTATTTGTAAATCATTCGTTAGCATTTTTTTTTATTAAGTATCCAATTTTTGCTTGGACTTAGATGAAGACTATAATAGAAAAAATGAGGGTGTAAATGTGAAAGATAAAATAGTTTTAAGATGAAAGACTAGACATTAATTGCAACGGTTAAAGAATGATAAGTTCTTATTATAATATTTTAAATATTTATTTATTTTTAAATATAAAAGATATAAATCTAAATTTAAAATCAATTTTTATTTAAATTTAAATCTAAAATTTAATTTAAAATTGAAAACTCAACTTTTAAAATTAGATATAATTTCAAAATTTACTCATTTTGTATTTATTTCAACAACTTTTTTTCATAATTGTACTTGTTTTAATTAAGTTGTATTGTTACCGCTTCTATACTAAAACAAATAGAAACTTATATAGTTTAAAAATAAAATATTTTTTAATGTAAACATAAACTAAAATATTATATAAAAAAATATAAATTTACAGTTTATGACAATAATTATGATTCTAATATCTTATTTTATATAATATTTAATACACATTAAATAATTCATCAAATGTTACTCTATCATCTTGCATTTTTCTCATGTTCAAAATAGGGTATGAATTTATTTGATTAGCAAAATTATACATTTTAAGTTGCACTTGTTCCTTCAAAACTCAATTTTTAACATTTTAAAATTTCTGAAAGTGAATAAGCTATAAGGTGATGAATGGTTATAAGGTGTCATGTGACTATAGTTTTAGTAGAAAATGTTTTGTTGGGTCACATAGACTATGTTGGTAATAAAAATTGTTTAATAATAGTGATAAATGATTTAGACGATAATGAAAAAGAAAAATATTGTCAAGTTCTATTTATTTTAACTCAATATTGTTTTTCAAGATAAATTTTACAGGGTGCAAAATAAGATAAGCAATAGTATTTGATTTTTTCATCAAATTACTATATTATTGAACATAATAAAATATGCCAAGTTATTATGGTTTATTATCCTTTTACTGTCCACCAAGTAGACTTTTAATACTCTTAAATATTATAAACTTTTAAACTTTTCAAATTTAAAATTTCAATCCCCGTCTACATTCCTTCGTGTTTGTTCCAAAAGCAGTTCCAATTATGTGCTAACAAATTAACAATTAGATGAGAAAACAATGAACAGGGTAGTTTTATTTGATTTTTAAAATAAGGAAACATAATTAGCTAAAACAATTAGAAAGAATCAAAATCATATGGTATTAAAATAAAAAATTAAATATGAAATTAACCGTTATAATCTGTGAAGCATATTTTAGATTGTGATTCTTATCATCATATTTTAATATTGTAGGGCTAAAAAATTTTAGAATATGTTATTTGAATTTATATTTTCATCGTTACTAAATCGATTTCTTGGAATTATAATTTTATATTTTACGTGTACCAATGAAGATTCCCGCAACACAGAAGAAGGTCTGATAGACAAGACCCGCAAAAAATTTGAAATATATATTTTACTATGATTATCATTATTATGGGGCGTATAAACTATAAATAAGAAAACAGAAACAAAGAAAACACAAAACAGAACGAGAAAAATGTAAAATCTGGAGAAAACGTATCGCCATCGCAGGGTTAGTTTTGGCATTGAAGAAAAGATTAAGATCTTCTCTCACTCGGCCCCTTCTTCAAGGAAACCCAACCTGTCTTTTCCTCCTATCCCAAGTCTCATATCCTTTTTCAAAACCCTAACCATCCAATTCCAATTCAAATTCCAATTCTCTGCTTCAAGTTTCTCCAAATCCCCATGCGCATGCGCCAATAACACAAAATCCCTGAAGATTTCTTATTTTTTGGGTACTGGCGTTTCGCTTTGCCAATTAGGGATTCGGTTTCGGTGGTTGAATCGCTTCTGGTGTTTCTATGGCGAAGGGCACGGATTCCGACGAGTTTGTGTTGCTTTCTAGGGTACGTACGGGTCTCAAGAGGGAGTTTGCATTCGCCATGAAGGCGCAATCTGAGATCTGCGGTTCTCTGGGTAGAACCCGTGCCAGCAAGAACCGGGGCGAGGTTCCGGTTCAGACTGCCACGGCCAGCAAGCGGTCCAGGAAGACCGGTTCGATGGAGGAGGAGAAAGATGAGGCGGCGACGATGAAAAATTTGGAGGATGCAATGAGCGAGGAAGAGGCGAAAAGTGATGTGGTGGATCTTCAGAGCGATGACGAGCCTAAGAACCACGTGGGAGAATCAGCACCAATGCAGGTTTGCGAGGATGGACCTAAGAGTGATGTGGTGGTTGAAACTGTGATCAATGCAGAGCCTATTGTGGTAGAGTCGCTGAAGGAAGAGGTTGTGGATGAGATGGTGCAACCTCTTTGTGAAACCGAGGTTAAAGAGGAGATGGAGAAAGGCGATGCAGAGGAAAAGGGTGCTGTTGAGGTTGCACCGGTTTTGGTTGATGGTGATGATAAGGGGAGGATAATGCCGGCGGAGAAGATGGTTTCCCTGCAGAGGCGGTTCACACGGTCCGCATTGAAGCTGAAAACTGAGGAAACGAATGTAGGTAATGATGGGGAACATGCTAGTGACATTGCAATTGGAGTTGATGGTAGTGTTAAGAAGGAAATTGATGATTCGCCATTGACAACTACTCCTACTCAGGGGAAAGTTACCAAGAGTAGGTTGAAGAAGTTCCCTACGAAGCTGAAGGACCTTCTGGCTACAGGGATTCTTGAAGGTTTGTCAGTGAAGTATGTTAGGGGAACGAAGGTATTGTATGATTTTGTTTTTATGATCACATTCTTTGATCTTTGCGTATTGATATTTGGGAATTCCCGCTCGAGATGAGTTTGATACATTTGATAAATTTGTAGGCGCGAAGACCTGGAGAAGCCGGGCTTCGAGGGGTGATTAGAGACTCTGGGATTTTGTGCTTTTGTGATAATTGTAACGGGGTTGAGGTAAGAAAAATGAAGTTGTCGGTTCATGTTTTTTTAACCGGTTAACAGATCATAGGTTAGTAATGTGCATTTTTCTCCATTTGGTTTTTACTGAAAGTAGGTTGTCACGCCCTCTGTGTTTGAGCTGCATGCTGGTAGTGCAAATAAACGTCCCCCAGAGTATATATATCTTGAGAATGGAACTACACTCCGCGATGTGATGAATGCCTGCTGTGGTTTCCCATTGGACTCTCTGGAGGAAGCTGTCCAAAAGGTCCTTGGTGACTTTACTATGAAGAAATCTTCCATCTGTTTGAACTGCAGAGGTTCGAAATGCATGTTTGATTTTCCTCCCTTCACCCAAATTATTTGAAATTTTACTAAATAATGTCTATTTTAGAAGCTTGCAAGGGTATGTCAAGACTAGTATGTGATTCATGCATGGAGTTGAAAGACTCTCAACCAAGTCCTTCTCAAACAGCTGCAGCAAGCAGCAAACGAGTTTCACAACCAGTTCAACCCAGGTATCTTTTTATTTATTATATAAAACATGATGAGTAAATCATTCTACATTTTAAGAATTGAGGATAAATATGGCAACTTTGCTTACTACATCAAAATTTGAATAAAACCTCTGTAATGTTTGTCAACCATTTTGCACTCTGTATTTTACTATGAGAAAACGGACAGCTTACTATTATCTACCTATTAGAGGTTCTAATCCTTTATTTAGTGAATGTTGTGGGATGGTTAGCTATTTTGTTTATTGTCACTCTTTTGCTCCAAACTACAAATGAATGCATTGCGTACTTCTATTTGAGTAAACATGTGTTACAAGTACAGTTCACTGAAATTATTGCATGGGATTATTTAATGTGTGCACTTTCCATCTATTTCAGATTACCAGAACCAGTTTTGGTTCCAAAGACATTAGACAATGAGATGCATCCAAATTCACTAAACAATGGGATGAAGCACAGCACGTCACGTAGTAAGAGTCAGGGAAGACTAACTAGGAAGTAAGCGTGGCTGTAAAGCAATTATCTAAAATAACATTTACTTAGAATTTAGAAGTGTATATTTTTACATGCTTTATTATATCATATTTTAGTCTTATCAGGGATTTAATTTTTGTCTCTGTATTTTTTAAATTTTGAAAGGGATCTCCGCTTGCATAAGTTGGTGTTTGAAGAAGATGTTCTGCCAGATGGAACTGAAGTAGCTTACTATGCTCATGGAAAGGTTGCTTTGATTGAGATGAGTTCTGTTCTGTTTTTTTTAATGTATTTTTTCTTCGTTGATTGTGTTTTTGTTGTGTGGTCAGAAACTTTTGCTTGGATACAAAAAAGGATATGGGATTTTTTGTACCTGCTGTAGCTCTGAGGTACTTTTTGTTATGGTTTAGTGTATATTGTGCCGAATATTAGTCTTCATCAGACATTTGACACCACTTCTGTTTTTCTAAAAAAATTGAATGAACAGGTCAGTGCCTCTCAGTTTGAAGCTCATGCTGGCTGGGCATCTCGACGCAAGCCGTGAGTTCTTATTTTACTTGTTATTGGATGTAGGGTGTGCCTGCATTTTCTAATGCATTAAATCTCTCATCTTGTGATAAGGAGATATGCATAATCAATTCAAGTAGAATGGTTTTGCACCCATGCATTTAAGGATGGTGTGCTGTAATATTAATCATAATTTCCTTCCTGTTTAACATTGAGTTATTGTGTTGCAGATACCTGCACATCTACACATCTAATGGAGTTTCACTCCATGAGTTGTCCATCTCTTTATCGAAAGATCGGAGGTTTTCCACAAATGATAATGATGATCTCTGCAGCATATGTGAAGATGGAGGCGATCTTTTGTGTTGTGATGGATGCCCAAGAGCTTTTCATATAGGTGAAATGTAGCTACTTGTTATATTATTCTATGCTGGAAGTGTTGAGATAATTGAACCAAATATCATAACAAGCAATTTGATGCAAAAACAGAACTAGCTAATGGATAGCAAGTCCACAATGACATCTAGCCCCCTGAAAATATTAATTAGAAACAAGGGAAAGAAAACAACCTTGAGAGAATCTAGTTCTATGCAGAATTTCGTGTGGTGTTGGCTGTAGAGTAATTCACGGCAAGGCTGATGATATTCTGTATATATATGTTTATTAGTCTCAAGTCTCCCAACATTGTGTTTTTTCCTTATGAATTTCATAGGTTTTTTTTTTGTTCTCCTTGTTTACTAACTTCACTTAGTGAGATAGTTATTTTGTTTTCTTGTTTGATTTGTTTTCTTAATCCTTGTCTGATTATTTTATTTCATGCTATTCCATTAAAAAAGCTAAAAAACTTCTTCAAGTTGTGGTAATACAATCATTATGTTATATGATAAAGCAGCATAACAAACAGGTTGAGTTGGAGAAGAATATGCAAATGGGTTGACAACTGCTTTCATCCCTCAAAAACAAAACCAGAAAGAGACCATAACACATCCTTTATAAAAATTATATGAAAGGAGATAATTAGCTGGGGATGAGAAGATGTTAAAATAGCTTCTTAAAGGATTTAGGCATGTTTAAGGCACTGAGGCAAAGGGCCACAAGGACTCTCTTTGTTGCAAAGCAGCATCCTGACATTCATTGGTTGGGTTGAAAACTGCACCCCTCTGTAGTTAAGTCACACTTGAGAGGATCCTGATCTGTCTAGCTTTGGTGTTTTAGGTGGGCCATTCTAGTGGAATACTATAATGATTTGAGATTGTACCATTATTTAAGATTTTTTGGATGTAGTGCCAGACAATTTTTCAAAAATAGTTATGGTTATGCTGCAAAAATTGATTGACCTTTTAATCAAATTTTCAGTTTCAATATATTTACATTCATTCATTTTATAATCTAACTAAATTAGAACACTTTATTTTGGTAATTGCACTTTCAAATTTTTTTTTTTTCATAATAATGAGAAAAAGTTAATGTTGGTTCAGCTTACTTTGTTGCACTCTGGGGATAACTGGTGTAGGGTTTGATTCTTTGCAGTTATCCTTCACTGGTAAGTTATCTGTAAACCCTCGCTAGGGTTTCTAGTTACTCCCTTCCCTGTCCATGGAGTGGAGCAACCCCCCACCACCTAAAACTTTTAATTGCCAAAAAGAAATTATCTATTCAACATTTATTATTTGAAAAACATTGTCAAATAATGATTTCTAAGTATGAAGTTCTTCAGTGCTTGGCTGCTAACTCCTCAGGAACTATGGTTGATTGTGTTTGATTCCTTCAACAAATTTTTGGTGGGGTTGGTGGATTTTGATTCCTTGTTTTGTTAGAACATATCTAGATCATCAATGATAATATTTTTCCTACAAACTACTGTTTCTGCTAGATCTCTTGATTTCTTTTGTCTGTGCTGTATGTAAAAGTATTTCTTTTCCTCTTAAAGTTGAACTTGAAGCTGGTGCTATAGTTGTTATCTGCGCTTTATTTGAAGTTATATTCATTCTCTCACTATTATCTATATTTTACAATTCCAGATTGTGTCCCTCTACCATGCATTCCAAGTGGTACTTGGTATTGTAAGTATTGCCAGAATCTTTTCCAGAAGGACAGGCATGGAGAACATAATGTGAATGCTCTGGCAGCTGGAAGAATTGCAGGCACTGATATTTTGGAACAGATAAACCGCAGATGCATTCGTGTTGTCAAAACTGTAGAGGTTGGCCATGGTGGATGTGCCTTGTGCAGGTAACTGTTTTCTTTTTACCCAGCAAGCTGTATAACTTAAGATGTATTATATGCAATACTTTTTTCCCCTAGGTTGATCTGATGAAAACATTTTGCTTAGCCTTTGGGAGATACCTCTGTTTTCCCTTACATTTGGCAATTTTCTTAACATTTGCTTTATGTTAACTTTAAGACATTATTCTTACCTTAATGTTTTGATGTAATTTACAGTCGTCATGATTTCAGTAAAAGCTTTGGTCCGCGGACAGTAATTATTTGTGATCAGGTACTAATACTTTATCTGATTTTAGATTGCCAAACCTTAATATGAAGTTGCTTTTATTGATCTTGTAGTATGTTTTGAGTTCTGATTGTTATGTTGCAGTGTGAGAAAGAATATCATGTTGGATGTTTGAAGGATCATAACATGCAGAACCTAGAGGTACCATAATTTCTTCTCTTTTCCCCTGGTGATTTAAATTGTGTTTGTCTTTTGCATTACCTACATTTTTTAAATGGAGATTATTTACCAGGAATTGCCTGAGGGAAATTGGTTCTGTAGCACAAATTGCAGTCAAATTCATTCAGCTCTGACAAATTTGGTGGCTTGTGGGGAGAAGAACATCCCAGATTCACTTCTAAGTTTGATTAAAAAAAAGCATGAAGAGAAAAGTTTAGACATTGTAGACGGTCTTGATATTAAATGGAGGGTTCTGAACTGGAAATTAGATACTTCTGTTGAGACTAGGAAATTGCTTTCCAAGGCTGTTGCCATTTTCCATGTGAGTATATCAGTGTTTCTGTATTATTTAGTTGAGAAATGCTAGTAACACACTCTTAGTTGTTGGCTAAAATTCATTTAAATCACAAAAACCATGAGTCACTCTTAATTTAATGATTTTCATTCTTAATTTAGGGATTCTTTCATACTTTTGTAGTTTTTAATAAATTTTAGTCAATAACTTGGATTGTATTCCTAGAACTACTTTAGTTAGTTTTTTATTTATCATCAGTTACTTCGTCACAAGTAATGAGATTTGAGAGCTAATTATCATTTAGGTTTTAAGTTTTTTATACCATAAGCTTTAAGGGTGTGCATTTTTAATCAGTGTTGGAATTTTGTTTTCCAGGAGAGGTTTGATCCTATAGTTGATTCATCCTCTGGTCGTGATTTCATTCCAACAATGCTGTTTGGGTAAGCATTGTTCATTTTTCTCTGTGCTGTTTGTTTTGACATTTATAAATGTGAATGAATTTCCCCTCTTGTTGGTTTCATTTCTGCAGAAGGAACATCCGGGGTCAAGATTTTGGTGGAATGTACTGTGTTGTGCTTACTGTGAAGTAAGTATGAGGGTGGAATGATTTATTTTGAGGTGCATATTTTGCTCAAATGGTTACCTGATTGTGGTTATATGTATATTTTTTGCAGTGAGATTGTGGTGTCTGCTGGAATATTTCGTGTCTTTGGGCCAGAAATAGCAGAGCTTCCATTAGTGGCAACAATTGCTGATTACCAAGGACAGGTTATATTTGACTTGCTTTAGTGATAAATATAGCCTAGTCTCTAGTATTCTCAAATTTTTAAAGGTGAATGAAGATTTTGTGAATGACAGAAATATTCTAACCACAATTGTTTTTATTTTCTTTAGGGTTATTTTCAGTGCCTGTTTTCTTGCATTGAAACGCTACTTGGATCTTTAAGTGTAAGAAACCTTGTCCTACCAGCTGCTGATGAAGCTGAATCAATATGGACCAATAAATTTGGGTTTACAAAGTTAGGCCAAGATGAGGTTTGTAACATATGATGTTTGGTTTAGATTTTCAGTGCTATCTATCTACTCATTAGACTAACTGGTGTCTTCATTACAGATAAACAATTATAAGAAATTTTATCACATGATGATTTTTCAAGGGACCTCAGTATTACAGAAGCCTGTTTCTGCAGACTGAAGTACTTTTTACCTGGAGTTTGTGTAAAGTTTTTTGGAGGTCCATATGCAATAGCCTTTTTTCTTGGTGGTTTTGTTGGGTGCAGATCACACTCGTTTACCATGTACAGGGATCTGCCTTTTTTGATGTACATAAAAACAGATAACCACCTCTAGCTGTTATAAAATTTTTATAGCAAAGAAATGAAAGGAGGTTAGAGTTGAGAAATAGGGGAAACTATTAGTGCAAAGGATTTTGTGGAAGGTGCCAAAATTTTGGTGTTATAAATTCATTTATTGTTGGCCACAGGCGTCTTGGATCTAGTAATATCCTTTTCCTCACGTTTTTTTCCCCGTTGAGTCGGGTTTATTTCTCGGCATTATCCTCTCTAAATTTGCAACTTGGTTTTATGTTTCGATCGTTTCGTTGGGTTTAAGTGATACGAATTAAATCTTGGTTGAGTACTAAACTGGGGATTTTTATTAGAGGAGCAATTTATTTATATAGCTTAAATATATTAATTGTTTATAATTAATTATAAATTGTCAATAAAAAATTGTTACTTTAAAAGTATGCATTAAGTTACTTAAGTAGTATATAGTTTAAAAAATTTATTTGACTGAGCATTATCGTGCACTCAAGGCTTAATTAGGTTAAGGTACTACCCAGCCTATATTGGCATTTGGAAGTAAAATTCCAAGCCTCAAATTAAAATTGAATACACTCAGACTGCCTGTAGCTGTCTGAAATTGGTTTATTCAAAATAATAGATAAATGTAACCCTTCATTTAACACTACTTATAAAATAATAATTTATTGAAAAAAAAAACATGAAAAACGCATGCTTAGGAGTATTGGAAAGTTAAATTATGAATGGAGAATTACAAAAACAAGATAATAACCACTAACAACTTTACAAAAATATGGAGGAGAGTTTGGCCTAAGAACTAGTGAACTTAGTAACGGCCTTTGTCCCTTCAGAAACAGCATGCTTTGCCAGTTCTCCCGGCAGGACCAACCTTACTGCAGTCTGAATCTCCCTTGAGGTGATTGTGGGCTTTTTGTTATAGCGAGCAAGACGTGAAGCTTCCTGAGCAAGCTTCTCAAATATATCGTTTATGAAACTATTCATAATTCCCATGGCTTTGCTCGAAATACCAATGTCAGGGTGCACCTGCTTCATTACCTTAAATATGTATATCTTGTAAGTTTCTACGTTCTTCTTGGCTTTCTTCTTTTTCTTTTCACTTCCTCCTTCTTTTGGAATCTTCTTTTCCGCTCTTGGTTTTTTCTCGGCTGGAGCCTTTTCTCCCACCTTCTTCTCCTCTGCTGGCTTCTTATCCGCCTTGGCCATCCTCAAAGATGCTAACGATTACAGTATTGTGAAGTGAATAGGGGTTGTGAGATTAAATTGATTTGGGCGGGTTACTAATATATAGCTTTTTTTCTGATATGTGATTGGTTGGAAAGTATAGGGTGCGGATCAATGACATAGACCGTTTGATCTTTTTTCTGGTATTTGGACGGTGGGGATTCGTATCGTGTTTCAGTTTCCCGCTGTGGCACGCTATTATGAAATTTTAAAAAATGCAAAAGTTACTGAATCAAAAATATTGAAATTTTTAATATTGAAAATATTAAAAAATGCAAAAGTTTGATGCACCAAATTTGAAGAAGGAAAACAATTTTTAAAACTGGTATTTATTTATTTAAATTTTCTAACATATATAAAATAAAAATTACTATAAATATTTTTTATTCTGTACAATATTGAACATAAATTAAAAAAATATTTTGTTAAAAAATAAAATAAAATAAAATAAAATATCTTAAACTCTGTAATTATTTGACTTTCACTACTTTTCATCTCATTTTTTATTTTAATTTTATTATAATTTTATTTCATTATATTTTATAGACACATAATAAAAACATTTAAAATATTAATTTTATATTAACAAATAAATTATTATATTAAAAGTACAAAGTGATTTAAAAATTTTAATATAATATAGTTAAAATATTAATATTTTTTTTCTTAACTTATTTTTTCTTATAAACTATATTATTTGATTTTTTTAAAAAAATACATGTTTATTTTGTAATATATATTTGTGTATATATATATATATATGTATATATATATATATTTATTTATTTATTTTTAGATAAAAAAAAATAAGGAAGAGAGAAAAGTGAACTATATTAAACAGATGATGTGATAAAAATATATAAAAAGAGAGTATAAAAATATTTTATTTAACATACTCTGCATTTGATTAGGGTAATGATATTTTGACATTTATTAAGAGAATATTGTCTAGGGATAGTAAAAAACATACAATAGAAAATGTAAAAATTGAGTGAGAGTGTGATATAAAAGAGAGAGTATAAACTATAAAGATAATATTATTTAGGGATATCCTCTTGGAGAGAATGTTAGTTTTTATCCCCTTTGGACAGCATTATTTGATTCATTGTCAAAACTAAATTTAGTGCTGTCAGCATTCGAACCCCACGATGCAAGTGCTCTATGGTTAGACAAAATAGTATGTTGGCATATTATTACTATTAATTAATAATATGTTGGGATATTATTACTATTTTGTCTACCGATAGGCACTTGCATTGTGGGCTTAATATTTAATGAACAATATCATGCACAGTCTTATCTGAAAATGAAATGTCGGACACACGCCATACTCGTGCCTTGAAGATCCCAGTATGAGTGATTGAATCTACTCAATATTTTTCCTACTTGGTCCTTTCCCTCACTTGCAAAGGTAACTACAAACCAACCCTATATAAAATACCCTTTTGTTGCTACACTCATTCCCTGTTATTGCTCCCTTTCTTAAAATGGAAAAGCTTTGTGCTTCTGTGATCACTCTTGGATTCCTTGTTATATTATTTCAGGGAGGAACTGTGACATGTATGAGGAGTGAAGACGGGTTAGAGGAATGGGGATACGTACAAGTCAGACCCAGTAAGTCAAATGAGTTACATTACAATTTTATTTTTCATGAGTTAAAAGTAGTAATATAGAGGAAAACTCGGTTACATTACCTCTTTTACTATGGATTGTGTTACCACAGAAGCCCATTTGTTCTGGTGGCTTTACAGAAGTCCACATAGAGTGGAGAATCCATCAAAGCCATGGCCAATCCTTCTCTGGTTGCAGGGAGGACCAGTAAGTATTTTTTCAGAATAAAATGAATTATCCTGAAGTGTAATCATATCATAATGGAATAAGGGTCACTTGTTGTCTTGTCCACTGCATAAACAAAGCAAGAAAAGTAATAATCACTTCACATCATTTTCATTACACTCATCTTATGTACCTTGTGACTTAGCAAACATATATAGCTCAGCAGGACTCTCTTTATCTATGATATAGTAATAGTTTATTCTGTTTTGTAGCTTAATTATACCCCAACTGTACTCAAGCAAATGAACTGAAGTTTATGTACATGTTTAATTGTAAAAATCTAATTAAACTAAGATATAACAAATTTATATAGAAGTCCTCAAACATGTTTTTTTAAACACTTTGTAAGTGACAAAGTCAAACATGAAATTAAAAAAGGGAAATATAAGTATATAATTATAAAGTGGTAAGAAAAATATCAAAATTAAACTCATGTTCACTGTTGAAATTGGGCAACGATGTGAGTTACGACCACCTAAATTCTGTTTTTATGGTCTGAATTTTCAAACCATTGAACAGGGCTCTTCAGGAATTGGGTTTGGAAATTTCGGAGAAATTGGCCCTTTGGATGTCAATTTGAAACCCCGAAATTTCACTTGGTTGAGAAAAGCAGATCTCTTGTTTGTGGTAACTCATTAACTCTGATATTTTTAATTTTTTTTCCGGAAGCAGTTGATTACAGTGCCTACTTGATTTTGCATTATAATGTTCTTTTCACTATGATTCTCATCATTCAATGGTGCCAATGCTATATTATATAGGACAACCCAGTTGGAACTGGGTACAGTTACGTGGAGGATTCTAGTCTTTATGCCAAAACAGATGAAGAAGCAGTCAATGATTTGACTACATTGTTAGCTGAATTATTCAACAATGATTTGAGCCTCCAAAAGAGTCCTCTGTTCATTGTGGCAGAGTCTTACGGTGGCAAATTTGCTGTCACTCTTAGATTATCAGCTCTAAAAGCTATTCATAAAGGAACATTGAAGCTTAAACTTGGAGGTATATATTCTTTTCTTGAAATGAAATGTATCATCTGCCACATTCCGGGTTGGGATGATTGAAGATAATTCTTATCTATCAGTGTGATTAATTTGTTGATCTTTTCCTTAGATGAAGCCATTTTTTATATCTGTTTTCAAAATTTATTTCTATATTTTTTTTAACTTAAAAATAGTGTACAAAAGTTATATAGAAATAAAACTTCTCAATTAAATATATGAAGGATTTCATGATATGTAACTTTTTCTCTTATTTAGGAGTGATATTAGGAGACAGCTGGATCTCACCAGAAGATTTTGTAGTAAGTACAATAAATGTAATACCCACCAATTTACACTTACAACTTTCACATTTTTAATGGTTAATTTGACATTGCAGGCCTCATGGGGTCCTCTGCTTAAAGACCTCTCGAGACTTGACGACAATGGATTGAAAAAAGCAAACAGGTATACATCTATTTCCAACTTCTCAAATAGACAAATTGATGAAACGTACGAATAGAATTAGGAAACTTTGAAAGAATTTATAAGAATAATTTGTTTTATTTTTTAAATTTATTTTAATAACTTTTTAATTTAATTTATTGAAATAAATTATTTTAAGTTTATTCTAATAGTTTTCATAATTAATTATATTACATAGGTTATTATTTAAAAAAATTATATTAAATAAGTACTTAATTAAGCTCTATATATAACACAATCTAGTTGTTGTATAGGATTTTCATTTACTCAGTTATCTGATAAATAAATACATATTTGAAAACAGTATTGCCGAGAGGATCAAGCAGCAACTTGAGGCTGGTCAATTTGTTGATGCGACATACTCATGGGGTGAACTTGAGAATGAGATTAGTGCTAGCAGCAACTCTGTGGTACTATAATTTTCATTCACCATACACTTAGACTATATCTTTTTGTACTAATTCACAGTGCACTAAAGTTTTAATTTTTTTTTATCAAATCTCTTAATTTTATTTTATTTTTTGTGTATTTCAGGATTTCTATAATTTTCTAAAAGATTCGACAAGTGATTCAGAAACCTTAAATGAAATGGAGCTTGGATTATTTAAAGAAGTGGCGATGATGCGGTACTCCAAGTATCTTACTTCAAAAACTTCATCTCTACTTGGTGGTGAGGAGGACGATCTTGAAAGATTATTAAATGGTGTCATAAAGAATAAGTTAAAGATCATTCCTGAGAATGTTACGTAAGTTCATAATTCTTTGAATTTAAAAAGAAAGTCTACCTCGAATTCAAACTCAAACCATGACCTTATACTGTAAGGGTGACAGATATGTGGTGCAGTCTGTGGATGCTTTCGATAATCTTCTAGCTGAGTTTATGAAGCCAAAATTTACTGAGGTAGGGAGATAATAATAAGTCTACAACAAGGTGGAACTTTTGGTTTGAAGCTTATTTATGTTTAACTCTATCATATTCTCCCAATTAGTCGATAAGAAAGTAAAAAAAACGAATAATAATGTATTTTTACTTAAAAAATTTCTCTTGTTTTTTTTTCTATTCAATTAAATTTTTTTTTCTTACTCCCCTTATTTTCTTTCATATTAAACAAAGAAATTAATGGTTAATGTGGTGTTGATAATAAAATCGGCAATTTCCTTTTTTGTTCTTCATATTTAATGTTTAATTCCATCAGGTTGACGAACTTCTGGCTCTTGGGGTCAATGTGACTGTGTATAATGGGCAAGTGAGTGTCCCTTTCCACAACATTTTTACTATTTATTTTCTATGAAAATTGTTTCATCCTAATTGTTAATTTGACAATATATGTGCTAGTTGCTCTTAAATAAACTTTATTTTACCATCTTGTTTTTCTAGCTCTTTTCCGTTTAGTCAATTTTTATAATTAAGCTCACGTTTAGTAAGATAATTATTTTTTCGTAATTTTAATTTTGTTCCATTATCCGGTAATTTTATAATCTGTGTTATTATTATAGCTTGATCTCATTTGTGCAACCAAGGGAACTGACGCTTGGCTCAAGAAACTCAAGTAAGCATCTATATATCTATTGTACCCTTTCAAGATTGGTGAAAGCAAACGTTACTTCTTCTTTTACCCTATTTTATTGGTTTCATTGTGTAGATGGGAAGGGCTTCAAAATTTCTTGGGGAAAGAGAGAACCCCTCTCTACTGTGGAAATGACAAAACCACCAAAGGCTTTTTTAAGTCACACAAAAACCTACAATTCTATTGGATCCTTGGAGCTGGTCATTTTGTAAGTCAACATCATTCATCTTTTCTCAATACCTACTTGTTCGATTTCAACGCAGACAAACAGACTATTAATATATATCTGATTGACAAACACACTATTAATATATATCTGATTAGATATTTATCTTTTTTATGATTGAAAAAAAACTTGAATTCTCTCACGTAACTCGACGTCTTGTGACGTTAATTTTACATTTTTATTTAAATAAAAATATAAAATTTTGCTTGACTAAACCATTTAGTTCCCACTAACACAAGAGAATCTTATTCTTGAAAAAGAATAAAATAAAAAATTACATGCGTAATTCATAGTCTAATCATTTAATTTATTGACTAGCAGATTTGCAAAAGTAAATTTAAGATGCAATATACTATTTAGAGTATATTATATTTATTTTCTTATAGGATATGTACTGATAAAATCATATTATATTCACTTATTCTATCATGCATGTCTAAGTAGTCTTTAAATGGATAAGGTGCTGAAAACAAAGATAAATGATAAAATTATAACTGAAATGAGACATCCATAAATGAGAAATATTATTTCTACTCAATACTTTTACAATATTTTTTATAACTAACAAAAATATGAAGGAAAAATAAAAGAGAAAAGCGATATCAAATAAATGCTATGATGAAGAGATACAGAACAAACAAAATAACATGATTTATAAGAAAATATTATAAAAATAAGTTATTAGAGTAACATAACTATTATAAATGAAAGATATCACATAGATCGCACTAATTGAAATGCTAATTAGATAGTTAGTAGTGGCATTAGAGTTTAAGTTTTAGCATTCAAACTCAATGAGGCTACCTCCTCAAAAATAATTAACACATGTTTTTTATTTTCTTATTTTGTCTCAGTAATTTATTTGGTACGTTACTCACTGATGCAGGTACCTACTGATCAACCCTGCGTAGCACTAGACATGGTGGGTGCAATTACACAGTCGCCAGCTGAGTGAAGTTAGCATGTATATGCTCAATAAATAAATAAACGTGCTTGTCATTCTAGTCATAAACATGAACGGATATTAATTATTATTTCTCGTATTAGAGAATATTTATGTTTTTTTTACTGTTTATTTTCATATTTAATATAAATTTAATAGTAATAATTTCAGTTAACGAATGAACTCGAACAAAATCAACCGGATATTGATTATGAGATTCAAATACGATTTTGTTTGGCATATGTACCACTTATCATCTGATCAAATTATATATTTTTATTGAAAGATATGTTTAATTTATATATTTTTATTTGAGCAAATATACATTATATTACTATTAAACATATATATTAATTGACAAAAATTATTTCAATTTAATTTGAACCTCATATGAAATATTATATTTAAGTTTCATATAAATATACTTTTTTTTCTAAGTCACAACTCTTTGTTTGGTACTATATTAAAACACTTTAAAATATTTATTATTAATTTTGAGACTTTAAAATACAAAATAAATATTTTAGATAAAAATTAAGATTAACTATAAAAATAATTATATTATGATTCAAACACCTTTAAAAGATTAAACTATAATATAATCTTATTATTCTAATTTGCAGAAAGGTTGCTAACTATTATTATATTAATAAGGCACGAAACACTTGTCATGGACGGTAATAGCTAAAGTAAATTAATTAACTGAAGTGCACGCAAATAAAGCCAAAAAACACCCTATTTTAATAATAAAGAAAACTGTCTTCTAAGCAAATGTGTATGTTTCTCTTTTCTTTTATTATTAAAAGTATATCGTCTTTGTCCTTTTAGAATGTAAAAATGTTGCACTGATTATACAACAAATATGAAACTGAGATAGTGTTATTTGTTTTCACGTTGAAAACATATTTTTGTACATTTTGTTATAAAAATATATAATTAAATAATTTATATATATATTATTTGATCATTTATATTTTTATTAAAAATTAATTTTACTTAAAATAAATGAGTAATTAAAGATTTAGTTGATAACTTTATTTGATAAAAATAATTTGTAGCGTTTGGTCAACGAAGTTGTTAAATAAATATAAAATAAAAGAAGTTTCTATCTTTTAAAAATTATCTAAAAAAATTTTAACTTTTAAAAACTATTTATTAATATTTTTACTATATCTTTATTTTTTTAAAAATTATTTATCACATTTTTTTCTTCAATTATTTTTTATTTAAATATATTTTATATTAAAAAATAAATTATAAAATATAATATTTTGTTTGATTTAATGATTATATATTATTATAGAGGAAAAGTTTGATGTTAAAAATTTTCGAAAAGGAATACCACTTATTATTGATAGTTTTGTTATCATAATATTTTTATTATTAATAATTAATAGTAAATTTTGTTAAATAAAAATTAATTAAGTAAATAAATTATTTAAATTAAATTATATATTCTTTATTGATATAATATATTAAAATTAATCTTAAAAATAAAATGAAATTATTGTTTAAATTAATAGTATTATATTCATTAATAAGATGTATTAAAATAAATTATATTTAATTTTAATTTATATTAATATAATATTATATATCCTTTTAAATCATTTAATATAATTAATTTCATAAATTATTTATATAACTATAAACTTTCATCTATAAATTCACAATTTTTAATTAACTTTATATTTAAAAGTTACAAACTCACAAATTTTATCCATTTTATGCAACATAACCAAAATCTTACATATTATTGTTGAGAATCAAGGAGAACAGATTTATTACCCATTAGAAAAAGAAATAATGGAACTTCATCACCAAAGAAGCAAATAGGTAATTTATGACGACTCTAATTTAATAATTTATTATAATTATGTGAGAATATGACGTTTGATTGGTGTTGATGTGAAATGAGATGTGATCGCACCCTTTTTTTATTTGCAATCAAAACTAGACATAGGGTTAGATTGAAATTAAGAAAAGAGATGGACGTTAATCGTATATAAAAATATCAATTTAATTAAAATGTATTAATAGTATAGTATATTTTTTTTCTGTAAATCAAATATAAATTATTATTTTTATGATAATTAATATAAAAATCATACTTGTTATATGCGTGTGTTTGACACTTGCTTTTAAGGTATAAAGTGAAAAGAAACAGGCATAAAAATAAATTAAGTAAAGTAATTGATAACGTAATAAAAAAAGGATAAATAAAAAATGGCAATCAGATAAACATAAAATAGTTAATATAAAAATATAATAATTTATTAATAATATTTATTTGTAGCAAAAAAGATAATTAATATGGGGATATTAGAGCATAAAAAAAAAAACTTGTTTTATTTTATAAAATACAAATGTATACTTTTCAACAAAAATATGTATTATAATAACAGATTTTATATTTTTAAAGTAAAAAAAGGCACTTTAAAAAATAAAGTTCATTAATGATTATTAGTTAGAAAATTAAAGTTTCAGCTCGTAATACATTTCAAAATTTGTTATACAGAATTACATGTGATTGATTTTTATTACAATTTTAATCATTCTTTTATCAACAATTATAAGTTATTTTTAAATAAAGTCTTCGACTAAATTCAGAGAAAACAAATCCTTGAATATAAAATGTCATTTATATTAATATAAGTAGGTATTTTAATAAATTTAATTAACAATAGTTCCTTCATAATTGATTCTAATAAATTTATATATAGAAAAGCACTAACTCAATTAATATACATAAATAACGTGTAAGATGTCACTCAAATTTAGAGCAGATAAAATAAACTTGCTCAGTTGAATTGGTTTAAACATACCTGATAATATATGGCTTAAATTTAAATTTTAAACTCAAATGAAATATGTTTTTTTAAAACTCTATTTAATCAAATTTAACGTGAGTTATATTTATTAAAATTACAAAAAATTATATTTTATGTGTTCTAAGTATTATTTTTAAGAATCTAAAATAAATTTAGACTACATTCACCGCCTATAACAGGATAACCATATGAGTTAAGTAATTAATTTTATCACCTTTGTCCAGATTGTTAAAAAAATAAAATAAAAATCCAAACTGCATATACGCTAGGTTTGCTTCAATTTACCATAGAAACATTAATAATATAGTTCGATAAAAAATAGTAATACTTTTTTTAAGATTATAGAGTTATTGATTAGATTTTATTAAAAATTACAAAAATTACGCAAGTGTTATTTTTATTCATAATTTAATGATTCATTTTTATATCTTTAAAAATTTTAATAAATTTTAATTTATAATAAAAAATATAGTACATAATTTATTCTTAACACTCCTCATAAATTTTTTAATATTTTCAACAAATTTAGTTATATAGATTTACATGATATTTAGTCATTTTTATATACATTTAATTATATTTATAAAATATATTAAAGAACAAATCAATATTGTTAAAAAAAATTTTTTTGGTAATTTCTTTGTAATATAACATGCAACTCCTAATTCTTTAACCTACTCCCAACTCCAAATCCTTTCGATAGATAAGGCTAGCAATAATATTGCTAAAGTCAGATATTGCTAAAACAAAATCGTTCAATAAAATTGTCACGTAATTAAGACTTGCAAGAACAATTTGGTTACGAGAAAATCATAGTCTCATGTCCCCAATAAAACCAAGTTTCTATATCCCTTGTTCTTTTTACAGAATCACTATTTGATAGGAAGATTTTGCAGTGTAAGCGATGGAATTTTTGTTTGACCAAATTAAGTACCCATAAGCTGCATGCATGGTGGATTGAAGTACAAACTCACTGCTAATAAAATCTTTCAAGGTCAATTTCTTGCTAATTCGAAACTGATGTTTTCATCAAGATTAACTATTTTTTCTCTTCTTTTATATATCACTACATTCAATTTAAAATATTTTGTAATTAAGTGTACGTGTAAACAATAATATAAGAATATCGACTTTAGTTAAATATGTAAAAATAATTAACGTCAATGTCACTGTGATAAAATGAAGATTAGGAGTGTTAAAAATTGGTGTGATACGTGAACAAGCTAGTCCAAGAGTTAAAGCTTCCAACTTAGAGCAAAGCCATCACATGAACTATCATTTTATACGTGTCATAGTTTATGCACGAACTTCGATTACAACATTATTAATTATTCTCATGGATAGAGTTACAAATCTCCCATGCACTATTCAGTGTTAGACAACGCCAAGGACTATCCAAAAAGAAAACTTATCTACAGCAAGCTTGTTTTAAAATTAAGGAATTTGTGTTTTCGAAACTTCAATTTAATAAGTGAACCACTTTACTAAAACTAATATGTACATTAACAATTAGTGCTTTAGTCTGTCTCGATTGAAAGTTTACGGGTTGCTTAGTTTTAAAAAATATTTTTTTTTTCACTTTAATCATAAATTTTATTTTATTTCTCATCCTTAAAAAATTGTGTAAAAAACACTGAAAGAGAATAACATTGTTTTCAGTATTTTCATGGTTTCCATATTCTAACACCTTTTTTTTAACAGATTACATTTTGTTATATAAAATCTACATATACAAAGTGATTAACGGGTAACATATGACTTTTTTTTTTAATTGTGCTCACTAAATAATTCAAAAGTAAAAACACACTTTTTTACTCACTTTAAAGGAATATAATTACAGAGTAATCAGTAAAACCGAGACCATTAAAAGAGAGAGAGAGAGAGAGAGTATATACATATAACAAGATAATGCTTAGTAACCTTATAGTTATAGATCGATTAAAGAAATACCGTTCAAGAAGCTAGTGCAAGGCAAAATACTATCCATTCCAAGATCCCAAAGTGCCATGTCAGCGCACAATCTACTGTGGCAAATCATATGCAACTATAGACCAGAGAAATCTCCAAGGCATGCACAATTAATCCCAGATGGTATAAATATATAATCTGCATGCACCTAAAATTATATAGATGAAAATCTGAATTAATACCCGACCTCTAGAAAGGAGATACCTAGTCCCAGTTTTTCTTTTGAAGTATATATATTTGCACGAAAGAGTTTGTCTAATTAAATTATTCAATAGAATAAAAAAAAATATTTTAGATAAATTAATAAAATTAAGACATTTTATATTGAAAATTATATTAATTTTTTATAGATAAAATGTGATTACTTTAGGTGGGATAAATTAAGTTACTTATCCGGTGAGATAAGTTGGTAAAATTTTGCATGAAAAAGTTTGTATTGACAGTACGAAGGAGATATAATAATATTAGTGTGATGAAGCTGGGAGAGCACCTCTTTAAGATCAATGATCATAAAGACCAAAATATTATCTTGAACAACCATCAATCTGCATTTGCAATGTGTGCTGTTCCACTTTACCCGAGTATGACAAGCCATTGCTGATGGCTGGTTGGTGCCCCACGAACAAAGCAACATGACCCATAAGCTTGTCTTTCCTAGAAAACGTAGTGCCACACGAACACTGCCACTTGAGATCACCACAGTGCTTCTCATGTGTCCTCAAATCAGAAAGCACCGAGAACTGCTTCTGGCTGCACCTCTTGCACACGTACATCTTGGGGCAGTGGCTTCTCTTGTAGTGATTCTTTGCACAAATCATAGATTTCAATGGTTGGAACTTGGCATGCTTTTGGTTCCACCTACACCCTTCTTGGGGACATGAATATTTCTTGGGTTTCATACTCATCAAACACTCCCTACCCCCTTCCAAGCTTCCCCTATTCTTGATTGGGTTACTCAAAGCAGCATTAGTCTTGTACTCATCTCCATGAGCTCTCATGTGCATCCTCAAATTTGCGTCACGCTTAAACCCTTTACCACAAACTTGGCAATAGTGTGTGTACTTAGCCAACAAATCCGCAGCATCCAATTCAACAATATCACTATTCTTTGTTGAAATCCCTCTATTATAACCTTCATTAGGTTCATCCCTCGGAGACAATCCTCCCCTACTATTATTGTTTTCACTAATTGCAACGCCTGTATCATCCTCCTTAATCTTACAGTTAAAACTATTATCATTGTTATTATTATTATTATTATTATCATTATTATTATAGCTTTCACCAAACCAATCCAGTGCCTCTGATTCAGTACTAGAAAATAAACCCTCCTGACCTCTAATATCTGCACCTATGTTACTAAGCACACTTCTATTGGTGCAAAAATTTGAGTTAGGCAACTTGTCTTGGCTATGCAATTGGTTGGTGCAAGTAGTAGTTGTACCTGGTGGGATATTACTAGCGAGAGCCATTTGTTGGCAAGTGAACATCATTGATGTGGCAGTCACAAGGATCTCTTGGATTGTGGAGTTCATGCTGGATATGGCCATGGATGTTGACTCGGGTAGGCTTTGATTTGGTGAGAGAATAACACCAACCAGGGTCTGCACTTGACTAAGCTTGTCCTTGAGCACAGAGAGATTGAACAGAAGGGAACTTGAGTGTGAACCTGCTGAGGCAGAGTTTATTTCCATAGAGGGAGACACCAAATCGTCGGGGTCAGGGAACATCTGAATCCCTTGATGCACACTTTGGAAACCTGATGTGGCCCTTGAAATCATTGCCTATGTATCTTCTTTCAACAGTATTTGCAAGCCGTTCTCTGAGGATTGGTTGAGTTTCTTGGTTCAGAGAAAGATATAAATATATTGAGAGCATATATGCCTAGTTTTTGTTTATATGAACTAGCCTAGGTAGAATAATAGCACATTAACATATATGTATGAGGGTATTATGATAGTGTGAAAATAAGAGAGAGAGAGAGAAGTCAACTGAGAGATATAAGTTGAAGTTCATCCCCACTTACGACCTCCCTTGCATGCACCCTATCTCTCAGTGGGGCCATTTTTCTTCATTCAAAATTAAAAAGAAATTGCAAGTGACAGACAGAGACCAGAACGGGGTGTAACTTTATTGGACTCCCCAGCATTAAGTTTTTAAACGTTGAATAAACATTAAAAATGTTTAACTTACTTCTAGGATAAACAATTAAAAAATTAATTAATTTTTATTAAATAAATGTATTTTATTTTTAATAAAAAATCATTATTATTATTAGTTATTTAAATTTAACTCTAAAAGACTCACAACAACAAAATCGAACATATATTTTAATACTATGGGTTGCTTAAATCTTATAAGTTGAAAGCCTCATGCTTTATGCTTCTGGCTGTCTCTTTCACTCCTTCATCAGAAGAATAAAAATACAATTTGTGTCTTGTTATTTATTTAATTGTTATAGGCTTATCTAGTAAATCTATGCGCAGGGTTTGGAATTTTCCGATTTCCTATGAACAATCTTATTCAAAAGACATGTCAATGCGTCATGCTTTTTTGCTTGGAGAATGCATCAAATTTCATTATGGCATGGCGTATATAAACTGACCCGGCCCGGCCCATTATAAAACAATAAAAACTCATGTGATCTCGCAATAATCCAGCCCAGTTAATTATCCATTTCAGTCCATGCCATCTTTTATTCTTCATCAAGATCAGCTTGACGTTCATGAACTGCATATGCTATTAAGCAAATTTCTCTGTTTGATCTGATAATTAGATGAATATAATATGCTTGTATAATATTTTAAAATTATTTTAGTATGTTTCAATAATCTTTACAAAATGGTTATAATGAACGAATTCATAAAATTTCTAAAAGTATAGTTTTCACATGGTTTTAAGTAAATGATCCCATAATTTTAATGGATATAATATTTCATTCTTATGAAATTTGTTTATCATAGGTTTTCTTTCAATTTCGTTAAATTTATTTTTTAAAATTGAGCTTAAATAATTTAAAATACTTATTAAAAATTTAACATATTTTTATATTTTTAATATGATATTATTTAAATTAAATTTTTTGTTTTTTAAAATACTTAAACTCAATCCTTAAGAAAATCATTTTTATTTTTTAAAAAAGTTGAACATTTATTAGTTGCTTCAGGGACAAAAGACCTTCATGTGGTGATAGTCAACGGATTCCAGAAATGATAAGAGGCGTTGATTTTGACCTCTCCAAAACATAAAACACCTAAATTTATTTGAATCTGTCCTACTTCAACCCATTTGATGACAGTGAGCCACACTCCTATCTTATCAAACAAATAAAAATTAATCATCGACTAATCTAGTTTCTTAAGCAACTATAATTCATAAATTTTAAAAGGAAAAAAAAGTATGGTTTTCTACACACTCAACAAAAATTTCATAATATTTAAAACCAAAATTTAATATTTCTACAACCAATTTTAAAAATTATTAATAATTAATAGTATGAGATATTATAAAAGATATTATAAGAATGAGAGGAACACCATGTTTAACATAAGGAAATCTCTTTTTTTTATAACATATTTTAGAATATATATCAATAATAAAATATACTTATAATTAATGACATTGAATGTGTCAATAAAATAACTTTAGAAAGGTATCAATCAATTAAAATAGATATTATAGTCAAAGAAAACATAATCAATCAATTAATAATATTACTTAAATATAATAATTTTAAAATTTAAAAGTCATAGATTCTAAACTCTTTAAAACATCTATACGAATTTACAGCAAATTAAAGTGGTGCGAATCATCAAAAAGCAATGATAATGACGATTCATCTTTAAAAACTGGTAAAGAAATTAATAACGTCTCATATTTTGAAAGACAAAAAGAGAGAGGAGTTATCCTTCTTTTATACATTGGGCTAAGCCTCACTTTTTATAACTGCAAATTCTAAAAGGTCAGAATATACTAAAAAAAACAACTTATTACATTTTTCCTCAAAAAGAACGTTTTATCAATTTTCCAATAAGAAATGTTAATAAAGTTTTACATGTTTTTATCTTATTTAAAATTTAGCAAGACTTGTAAAGTTACATAAAATTAACTTTTTTACTTAATAATGCTATTTTCTTTGTTTGGGTCCACAAAAAAAAAAAAAAAAGTTTCATTCGATCATCCTCGTGACAGAGTGATAGAGGGTGTTCCAGTGTCATGTGCATGCACATAGCTAATTAAATTAGGGTCGTTTTCCAGATGCAATAGCCACAGATAACATTCCATACTCTAATTCATTGACATTTTGTCTCTGTTACTCATTTCATCAGTCACCTCACAACAAGAAGCAACAACTCATTCCACTGTCCCACAATCACAAGCCCAATATTACAAGTTTAGGGTCTGCTCCTTGTAATTTCCAGCTAATTAATATCGCAAATTCAAGCCTCCATTCTTTAATTTTAGCACCTAGTACTATTAATACCCTTTGTTTAAGATTAAAAAAAGTGATTTCATTTTTATAAATTTTTATTTAAGTAGATATTGATCTGTGTTTAGTTGCAATTATAAAAAGGTATTTTCTTTAATTTGAAATAGTTTCTTAAAATAGATTTTTAATATAGATTTTTTGAAAAACCTATTTAAAAGAGCTGCTTGAAAAAGGAAATTTTTTTATTTTGATAATATGATTTGAAAATAAAAGAACAAATATCATAGAATCTTTTTTTACAAAATAAGTAATTTTGATTAAACGTGATGGTGTTTTATAATTGACATTTATAAAGAAATGAATGATAAAAAAAAGAAAATGATAATAATGGTAGATAGTAGATAGTATAGATAATAGAATAATACATTTTGAAGAAAAATATAACTCTTTAAATATGGTTATAAAATAAAATTAACGGGTCATTGGATCATATATTTTCTAATGATATAAATATAAATTTAACTGCAAATCATAAATTTGTCATATAGGTGAGATTATTTTTTGGTTTTATGAAAACAAGGCATTAAAATTACATTCATACAATAAATAAGTCAACAAGTTATCAGTTTATATCTAACAATTTTAAGAACCAGTAAGAACTCAGTACTCTAAACAAGAATAAACTTACATTGCCATTATTATATCAACATGAATAACATAAAAAAATTTCCTTTTCCTTTTTGTTTTATTTTCACTTATTTTCTTACTTAGTTTTCATTCACCCATGGCATTGGTGGATGTTTCTAATCCCTTTGACACAAAATACCAAAAAAGTAGAAAATCAAATTTTTATTTTTGATATGTTATTATTAAAGAAGGGACCAAAGGGTTGGCTTGCAGAACTTTCCTTGCTCAAATTTGCCAGCCCAGCCCTCCAAAATCTTGTGTAATTTATTGAGATCATTTGTCAATTTCCCTGATATAATATGGTATTATGAATGCTGTTATCTTTCTCTTTTCAAATTATTAGCTCAAAGTAAGTCTTTACACTTGTAGGTATTATATTTGTGCAATGGCGTTACATTTGACAATGGCTTCTAGACCTTTGTCTTTGTCCAGCAAATACATTTTTCATATATATATATATTAGTTGGAGAAGAAATGTACGAAAAATTTGTCCTCAGATTCATGCAAAATGGAACTTATGCCTGTCCCAAAATTCAAAAAATTTACATAAAGAAATGATAATAAGTGGAGGAAAAATGTCAATGATAACATGTTAACACAACACAGGTCACGAAGATGATATTTATTTTCTTTTTGAAATAAAAATACAAAAATTTAAAAAAATAAAAAAGATTATTTGCTTGAAAATTAACAATCTAAACAAGCAGTTGTGCACAGTAAATGATGGTTAAAACAATGTTGATGTTGCTGCCCAGGATCGAACTGGGGACCTTCAGTGTGTAAGACTGACGTGATAACCACTACACCACAGCAACAAGTTCTTTTTTAGATCTTACTAATGTTTTTATTATGTTACTTATTTTTTCGCAGAGAAAAAAAAAACGTATATAAAAAGTGAAATAATTTTTTAAATTGAAGAAATAAAAAAATTCCAAAAATTCAAAATTTTAGATGCAGATGAATTTCAAAATTAAGTTGAATTATTATTTTTTATCTCTTTAATTTTGACTACATGTACCTTAATTTTCTATTTTTTTTTTTCATTTATAAAATTTAACAAATTCACTCCTCTACTGATTTTTTATAGTTAGACTCCAAAATGTCATATTCTATTCAAATATGTTAGGGTTTGTGATACAGTTAATATATGAAATAATTTCAAAGGCATAAAGGAAAACGTTCAGCGAAGATCCGATAAAAATTAATATGGTTTACAATATGTGAAACTACAATTTGAGGAAGATAAATTTAAATTTTTTTATTTTAAGTAAAATTTTCTGTTTTAGTTGTAAATTTGAGTTAGAAACAATAATTTGATTATGATACTTGGATTATTAATTTTGACGCTTATTACGTTTCAATAATAAAATGAGAATTAACGAATTAAATTATACTACTTTCAAACATCAATTTTATTACCTAATATTCCAAAGTTTATAGACATGGCCTGGTTGGAGTTTGGACAAATCTTGGCCAACAAACTTGTAACTATCTGAACTAATGCACGGATACATGCATCTCAAAGGTTTTAGTTTTCCTTAGCTTAACTCAAACGTTAAACAATTGGCATTATAATTGCTAATGATTCCAGCTAGCTACTCACTTCACTTCACTTCACAATTCCTCTAACAATTTAGAACTCAATCTTGATTATGGTTAGCAAAATGCAATCGTTAATTTCGTTATTAGTAACTTTAATTTGCTAATAATACCACTAAGCATGTGTTAATTACCACACCCACACATTTTTTTTTGTAAGCAATGTTTAAATCTACTCAGCAATTCTTTTCAGCGAGTAACTTTCATTTATATCTATGGAAATTAAGCCAACCAAACCCAAACCAGTGAGGTAGATCTTAGGTAGCCACATTCCACCAAAGTAAGAACTACCACTAAAATAATGGGAAAGAGGGAAATTAAATCCACATTTATTAATTGTTCCGTCGCTGGATACCAAACCCCCAATTAGTAGTAATGAACTAATAATCAATGGTTTGGTTATGACATTCTTGAACCAAATCCTGTTGATTGTCAATACTAAATAGAGGATTAAGCAAAGTGAAGCAATTATTCGGTTGAGTGGAAATTTGCTCAACACTAATAACACAAATAGAAGTGAAATGAGAAGGCAATGCCAACTTTTTTGGTCATGGGCTAGCTTACAAAATAGAGGCAATAAGCCACATAGTAAACCAACTCATGCATTGGAAGCACTTAATTGTCTGTATCTCCAAACTGTAAACCAATTTCTACTACAAATATACCTCGTGAAAGCAAAGAGGATAACAACTACACAATCCATGCTTTAGTTTGGTTGAGTATTTTCTTACACAACTTTATATACTCCCAAGCTATTCAATCACAACCATTCAACTGTTGAGATTGGAAGGCACGACAAGCCACTTTAAGATAGGAAAATTCTTATTCACTCTAATCGCGTGGAAATTAGATTGTGATATGTGGTATGACAATTAAATTGAACGTGAATTACCATATTAACTCTAACTTAAAAATTAAATCGTTAAGGGCAATACTCTAAATTTACACAAGAGAAAATATCAACATGGTGTACACATGTCATTTCTATGTGTGGTTGTGTGTTTTTATTATCTAAAAGGAAAATTTTGTGAAAATGATGTGATACGAATAACGTGTGCATCTCATTAATGAATATAATATTAGAACTCAAAATACTCGTTATTCCCCTTTTTTCTTTTTTAACTGAAAAGGACATAGACATCTCAGCATACCAGGCCTTGTCTCTCCATGACTGGTAATTGAGGAATGATGAAACTCTGGTCATTTTGAGCACGCAAAGAAGCAAAGAAAAAAAAAAAACTTAGTACATAACAGGGGTTTTGTTTGGGTTCATCTTACATAATAGGGAGAAAAATCTGGGTTCTGTTTTACTTTGAAAAATGAAACGAATTGATATTGGGCATGTCCTCATATTATGGCGAGTTTCATGGCAATATTGGGGAAATAATTGGAAAAAAGTTGAAGTAAAGACTAGAGATAGTTGAGTGACCAGAAATTAGGATAGGCCTAATTAACAAACACAAGCAAAGCAATGATTTAATATTATAGTATTAGGGTATAATGAAGTTCCCTTTTGAGTATGATAAGAATATTATAATGAATTAATTTAAAAGAGAATATGTAATGGGAGGTTACAAGACATGGAGAGAACTTCCCAACCTACATGTGCTAATGTCAATGAGTGATCACTTCTATCCCATTTCTTATGCATTCGGACACCTCACGCAACGTATGTGTCCACATGCTTCGCTTACCAGTATTCACCAAAACGTGCACATAACTAACTTTAGATAAGTGGCCAGTGTAAGTGACTTTATAGTCTTCCATCTATCTCTCTCTTTTTCACTTTTATTGTATAATACATGTTCACATATGTGCCCTTGTGTCTAGCTCAGACAAATTAATTCCATTTGTGTATATCGATTCTCATTTTGTTATTTTTCATGGAAGAGAAAAAATAGAAATGTTGTCATTTGTTGGGTCCTTTTCTCATCTTCATTCTGTGAACTACATAAATAAGGCTGAAAGCTTATAACTAGAAACTAGAAAGAGAGATAAAGGGTATGGATGATGGGTCCAAATAGTGGACCATAGTATAGCTCCCAATCATATGTTTGTGGTGTGAGAGTCAGCAGTATCTTTCTTGGGAGCATCAACTTTGTATGGCTGCAACTTCCATGAGATAATCACGAAACTAGCTAATTTACTCAGTTTTAATATTATATAATATAAAAACAACAATAAATTAAATTGGTTAATTAGGTGAAATTCTTACGCTTAAAGATAAAATAAGGAGTATATAGAAAAAGGGGTGGTGGTGGACCAGGGAAATATGCATAGGAGGTAACACTTTTTAGCTTATTAGTGGATTTTATTAAAATAATTGAGTGTACTAATGGCACAGTGACATTCTTGAAACTCAGTTATACTTTAATTTGCCCGTCCATTTTTCTTAAACAAAAAATATAAAACAGAGTGAGTGTGGTAGATAGAGTGAGCGAGAACTGAGGAAGATTGAGACTGAAAGAGAAAAGGATATTTTAAACTTTATTAGAATAATAATAATAAAAAGCCATAAAAGAAGCCTATTCCATAACTTTGGTTGTGGTGGTGGTGCAACCAAACCCTAGCCATGCCCATCCATGCCACTACTACATCTATCTCCTCCTGCTCTTCAGTATTACACATCACTATCTCTGAATAAAATCCAAACTAGAACCAGATACAGACCCAAAACATTAAATTTTTTAAAAAGATTAAAAAAAAGAAATAAAGATGCTCTATGACTCACTTTTCGTGAATGAAAGGCAACCATGAACACTAACCACTTACTTACTCAAAGTATTCCAAAACTTGAACAAGTAGGTCATCCAAATGGGAAATTATTAATAAACCCAAAAAAAAAATTCCAAAGAATCGATAATTAAGAATAATTGTAAATTAAAATAAAGCTAATAATTCACAATGATCATTGATCAAATAATATAACTTTTTTTGCCCCCTTCATCCAATTCCCACCCTGGCGCCTAATAATGGCAACCCACCAAAGCCGGAGCAGCCGACAGCACCATAGAACTTTGATTCGCCGGAAACTGAAACTTAGACTCCCGGACATCATCCTCCGGCGCCGGAAGATTAAGATCCAATTCTAGAACATTCCGAGGCTTAACTTCAACACCAGCATCAAAAGCGTTGTGAACAGCACCATTATTGTTAGAAGCTCTGTGCCTCCTCATGTGACCACCCAGTGCTTGCCCCGAAGTGAATTCTGACCCACAAATGGAACACTCGTGAATCTTGGACTTGTTGCCACCTCTATTATTACTATTACCACACCCCAATTGAAGGGAAATCCTAACATGGCTTTGTTTAGCTTCTTCAAAATCACAAGCAATCAAAGACTTGCGATTTCCCTCTATTACCTTGGGTTTCTTGTGACTTGCTCTGTGGCCACCTAGTGCTTGAAAAGAAGGGAATGTTCGGTTACATGTTTTGCACTCATAAACATAAAAATTGATTTTGGTGCTACCCATATTGCTGTTAGTCTTAACATCAACACCATGAACATGTTCAAGTTGTTGTTGGTGGTGTTTGTGATCAGAATCATCCCCTCCTCTTCCTTGTGCTAGAAGAATCAAACAATTAGCCATGTCTTCTTCTTCTTGGTCAGTTCCTTCAAAGGTGGTAGATGAAAACGACCCACCGCCACTCGAACAGCTAGAAGTCATGGCGGTGGCACAAGGAGACAAAGGCCTCACGCGCCGCTTCGTGCGTTTCCCTTTTGCTATCTGGGTCGTGTCGTGGTTACAAGACCCCAGCACGAGTTCCTCCGTACCCATGTCCATTTCTGACAACATTATATGGTATCGAAACTGAGACAAGACAATTAATCAAACAGTGATTATTGATCGATGTCTATGAATACATGCAAGGGAAGATGAAGAAATAGTAAGAGAGAGAAAGAGACAAGTTATGTGTAAGAGGAGTGTGTGAACAGGTTATATATATATTGGTAGTGAAGGAGCAACAAAGAGGTTTTTGTTACAAACCCAAAATCTTCCTTGCTTTTCCAACCTTGGAAGTGTTACTAACAAGAAAAGTTTTTCCTTTTTCCACGCGTCTTTCTTCGCGCGTGGATTTACGCTTCAATCATGACCACACTTTTTGCCCCTCTTTATGTTTTACTATTACTCATGTTGCCCAGGGTGTGAGTACTTTTTATGAAAGAATATTTTAATTTTTCCGAAAGTTTGTGCCTTGCACACTGGGTCGATCCACACACACTGCTCGTACTGCATGCGTATCATTCATCAATGATTAAACATGCTTTGTATTTTGCCATTAATGTTTAAACTTAATGAGTGGGAGCATGTCAATAGTGTGTGATTATGGCTTGCGAGTAATTAAGATTAATTAATTAGGTTTTAAGAAAGAAAATGTTGTTGTTAAATGTTAACGTTGTGAATCGGTTTCACTCTCTCTTTGGTTAAACGATTGTTTAGGTGCACTAAAGGGAGGGTAACAACTTACACAAACCCATTAAAGCAAACATGGCACGTTAAGACTTAAAAGCATGTCATTCCGTGATTTAGTTTACTTTGAAAGAAAAGTACTAATCCAAATTGAGTGATTAGAGATCCGGGTGGCTTTCAAGCAAACACGATATGAGTGGCATGTGATTAAGTATAGGATTCGGTTTAGGACTGTGGAGTAAGGAGCGTATATGTAGCATACAAGTATATGACATAAGCACTTTAGGACGGTTTCTATTTTCAATGGTGCTACCTTGATTAACTTGCTTAATTAGAATTAATCTTCTGCTTAAAGCTACGTCCAGGGCTTCGGGTTTCAGCCAATCTGTCATAATAATCATTTATTGCTAACCCGATGTTAATGATTTCATGCCGAATGGGATATCAAAGCTAATCAAATCATGGCTTAATTTGCCTTGTAAAGAAGACTTCGTTTCATTATCAACGAGAATGTGCTTTGCAAAAGATCGTTACTTACGCTTGTTTGTTCTTTTTTTTTTTTTTTTTGGCTGTTACCTGCATACTTGATATATATAGTTTAACATTCTTGCAAACTTGATAATTATTCAAGCATACTATATTATCTTTCATAAAAAGAAAGATAAAAAGAATAAATTGTAGAAAATGCACAAATAAAAAGAGAAATAGAGGTGGAATAATTGAATTAATAAATGAATGAATCACACTACCACATAATCTAATGAAAACTAAACAGTATTTTAAGACTATTGGATATAATAGTTAGATGAAGAATTGATCGATCATAAAGGAAAATTAAAAGAGGTAAAAGCAAAAGCCGTACGATTTTGAGACGAGGGTGGTTAAGAGGGCAATTAGGCATGTATATTGTTTTGATATTATTAGTATAGGTAGAGACTCCAAGAGAGCAAGAGGTTGAAGCATTTCATTCTCAGGGAGTGGTCCTCCAATGTTGGTTTAATAAAACGTTAGTTACTAATTAAGTGGATCTCAAATCATTGACTTAATCGTCTATACTAAGCCATGGTCCACTAGTTGGTGAGCAATGTATTACCCATTAATGTGTAACAACATACACCCCTTAGTAACATATTTTTTAATATATTATTTTTATTATTTATTAAATTTATTTATAATTTATATATATTTTCGTCGGTAGATGACTATAATTCACTGAAACCAAAATCATCAAATCACTGCATTTGATGTATATACTATAAATCAATAGTTATACGTAGCATGTCACTAATACTATTGCCTATTGGTGTCTTGTGAAATCGATCGATTGGAATACCCATTTCACTCTTGACATTATTACTGTTTGCTGCTACCATCTTTCATTTGGTGTGAGGATTTGTTTGCTAGCTTAGATCTAAAGTAGTCTATTATCTTGTTCATGTACCGTTGACCCACATCTTGCGATCCTATAGTTTGTACTTTATCTACTAATTAATTTGCAGTTGCTGAAAGATCAAGCAAGTTGGTTGGTTCAAATAAATTCGTTTTTTTTGTAAATATATTTAAATCTTATTGAATTTGTATCGTGTCCTGTTATTAAATAGTAACATGGTTTTATAAAAAATAAAAAATAGTACAATTATGAAACCATTGAAGAAAAAAAGAGTTATATATTAACCGATGAATTGATATAAGATTATTTATTATTTGTACACTTTTTTCCTAATAAAAATTAAATTAATAATATGAATATTATGAGTTCATATTAATACGATACATATATAATAGTAAGAACGTAATCTCATTAGTATAAAAATTTAATATATAGTATCATTACATTAGATATTAACATAATAGTTCATATTGTTGATATGAATTTTTAATGTTAAAACTAATATTTTATTTTTGTTAAATAAAAATTATTTTAACAAAGACAATTCTAACTTTATAATTTGTTATAATATAGGTGTACAATAAAAAATTTGTCCGCATACATCTCTTTCAAACAAGATAGTCATGCGACAAGAAAGATTCAAAATTAAATCTTCATATTTGCCTCTGATTTTATATCAGTCACACGCTACTTAGTAAAATTCAAGAGCTAGCAAACTAATTAGCATCAATTAATTAATTTCCATTAAAAAACTTATCACTAAATAATTCCCTTGTCACGTGTTTATTTTAGAATATTTGCACGGATCAATCTGAAAGCTACTCTCATATTTCTTAGTAGCTATGCGACGTAGATGCATTGATTTACATGTACCAAACAAATGAAATGAGTTATAAATATAAATTTGACTGCCAAAGGGTCAAGTACAATATGGTGACTGAACCACACTCTTGATGAAAAGATTTAAGCTTTAGAAAATATAGTTGTTTAGAGGATTTCTTATTAATTACAAAGGTTAGTTTCATAACAATACCTATAAGAGAATTCACGCGTAACTAAAGACAATTTAAGTGAATACAGAAAATTGGTGGCTGAATATCATTTCAACTGTTAATAGTACAGAATCGGAATTAATTATGAACTTATGAGTAATGGTTTTTAATTATTTCTATATTAAAAATTCTGAAGTTTAATGGAAGAGATTAATTTCAACTTAACGTTAGTTTTAATGTAAAATGTTGAGATAGGGGAATGATGGAGATAGGTTGGCTTAATATGATAAAGGTCATAGTCATAGAGACTTGACAAGCATCTCATTTAATCTCTGTTTATACAATTTATGTAACAAGGTCTTTATTTATTAATTTTTAAAAATCTTGTATACTAACTTTTACTCATGCCTAAGTAAATTCATTCAATCATATCTAACTTACTTCAAATGTCATTTGAAACATCTTTTCCCAATAAATTGGATAGTGTAATTCCTACCAATTATTATTATTTTCTAATATACATTTCCAAAACCAATTATAATATTCAAGTACATGCCTCATTGAGTGATGTATAGGTAAGTGGAATGCATTTGGATGAGGAAGTGGAAGGTTCAATGTACAGTGAAGTTTGCTGAAAAGGAAAAAAAATGAGGCAAAAGGACGGCAGATTCTTAGCGTAGGAAAATAAATGTGGTAAGGTGTTTTGTGTGAAGCACGTAACGTGAGGATTGGATGCTGCCATAACCTGTTAGTGACATATTGGTATATAATTGCTCTGCTCTGCCTTTCCCTCAACCATTTCCTTTTGAAAAAGAAAAAGAACAAAAATTAATTAATTAGTGGAACAAAAAAACAAAGCAAGAAAGGGATTAGTAGGGAAGTGCAGCATTCTTTCTTATCCCTTTGCTACTCAACTTGAGATCACAATTGTGACTACGCAGCCTTTTGCAACTAAGACCATGCTGCAATATTTAACTTTTGCGTAACTTGAAATTTTTAAGAAGAAGCATTGCATTTTTTTTTTTATAATTTTTTAATAAACTGTTAGCATAAATTTTTTTATAAAAATAATATTTTTTAATAATGTGACAATCTATGAATAAATGATACATCTGTTAATCAATGTTTTTCAAATTATTTTATACTCATCAGAGGGAACAAATAGATGGCCAGTCAAACTTTAAGATTAAAAAGAAATGTAGAGTCCTTCAAATGAAAATATAAAAAACTGGTCACATTTCCATCTTACGTATGATATTGTTATATGATATATTCTCCTATTTGCCTTAATGAGATGATAAGGACTGCTAATTTGTCAAAGAGCGAGTTCTCATTTTCAGATGAAGAGAACGCAGACATCTCATGCTTCACAAAATTCAATAAAAATGATTAATTCAATATACATACATACAAAACATATAAATTTATAATTGGTTATAAGTAAATTCGATCAGGTCTTCATTTTCTTTAATTTGTATAATTTGTTACTAAAAGTAGCTAGAGAAGAATATTTTATTTTTATTTTATAAAATAATAATATATATTTGAGGGATATATATATATATATATATATATATATATATATATATATATATATATATATATATATATATATATATATATATATATATATATATATATATATATATATATATAAAAGCTAGACACCGTAGACATAACACTCACTACACTAACAATTAGCACAATAGACTGAAAGTAGTGGACTCAATACTCCAACTCCACTTTAACAGTTCTCCCGTCATAAAGCGAATAAGCTTGTGAACCACTCGTGAGAACAAACAAGTTGGTCGTAGCTAAAGCACTTCATTCATACAATTAATTAAATTTTATTTTTTATAAAATTAATATATTTAATTAAAATATTCAAATCAACAGTTAAATTAAATAAATGATATAAATATATACGTTTAACTCAAGAGCATATCATAAATAACATCTATATTTATCTTTATATTTGTTTGGTCAGCAGTGAACGAATTATATATCGTTTGAAAGCAAAAAATAAAAAAGTAAAAAAAAATGGTATTACAATGGCAAACCCATGCGAGCGAAGACAGTGACAGGCCCCAAAACACGCCACTTATTTATGTATTTATTTGTTAGAAAAATTCGCAGTTCACTAGCATAGTTTTCAACTTTTCGTAGTTTTCCTTTTCCTCTGGGATAACAAAAAAGATGCTTTTATTGCTACTTGCAGAATGGTGTCTACGTAAGTCTGAGCCCTTGTGGAAGATGCTCCAATCATTATTATTATTATGAAAAAAGGAATAATTAAAGGTAGCAAAAAAGGGAAATTTAAATAGTCACTTGTTAGGCACTAGTAGTAGATGTGGAAGTGCAATTAGTATGGTATTGCTTGTCTGAAAAGTCATGAAGAATGCCGCAAAGAAAACTAGTAAACCTAATACTCACTCCACTTCATGACGGTGAAGACAAGGTGGTTTGTTGCAACTAAGCATGAAACCCAAACAAAGACTTTCCTGCATTCATCTTCATCGATCCCTTTCTTTTTTTATTCAATATTTCGGTTGTTACTGAAACAACCGCCTTTGACAATCAATTTTCAATTTAAGTGATTCTGTATTCACATATCTGTAAAAGAAATGACAATCTCTATACTCTAACAATTAAGAAAGGGCTTTCTGAGATTCCATATCCACTTTTAAATGACTAAATATAAGTAATGGAAGATCTTTTTTTTTATTTTATGAAATTATAAATTTTTTATTTATATTTTTTAAATGCATTTTTTGTTGGGTTGCTTTTCTGAAAAATAATTGCTTTCGCAATTTTCTTTCTAAATTGTCTGTGTAAAATTAAATATTTTCAAAATTATATCATTTCCCCCTTTTATATATTTTAATTATATTTATTAATAATTGAGGGTGATTGAAAAAGTAATAAAGTTAATCAACATGGCTGAAAAAATGAAAAAAAAACTCAATTATTAATAAAAAACACTAAAATTACATGTACTTTTTTTTAATAAATAATGAATTTATTTTAATATCTTTCTGGATTTTTTCATTACTGATACACATTCCTCAATTTATTTTTAAGGCAAATTTTCGCATTAAAAAGTACTACGGTTTGAAGAGAACAATATATGTTGTAGGATAGTATGGCAAGTGGCGACAAGAAGAATTAATTAATCAGTATTTATCAACTTTGGTTTATCATTAGTTGTCATGTTGGCGAACTACGAAATTTCCAAACAACGGAATGATTACTTGATTTTCTTCCGTTTCTATGTTGAATTTTTAATGAAAATCTTCGATTATAAAAATAAAAAAACAAAATGATCAACTTTGTCTTATTCATATCAAGTATTACATATTTAATTATTTTTATCTAACATCTTAGAGTTCAAGTATTGTATATAAAAAAACAAGTTGAGGACATGATACCCTCTCTCTCTCTCTCTCTCTCTCTCTCTCTCTCTATATATATATATATATATATATATATATTTCTAATTAAAAAAATATTTTTATAAAATATAGCAAGAATATTTACGGCATAATATTACTGGGCCACCAAAAGAGTAGTTGGTAACTTGATAGAACCCTGGTGTTTGTTTTAAAATAAATTTTCTGCTATCATAATTGACTTCACTTAATTGAGAAATGCAAACATATATATAAAAGTTGCATATAACAAAATGCAGATATAAATAACTCTGTCTTTTAAAAATCTTTATAACATTATTCCATTAAGTCATGAGCCATCACAATTAAAGTTTCTTAAAATTAGCATCGTTTTCTTTTCTCTAACTCAAGACAAAACTGAGTGAGTGACAAAAGATTGTAGCTATCTAGAAGATTTGATGAGAGTTTATGCCTTCTTCACGCACAGCAGAAAAAAGAGACTGTCTCATGCAAGGCGAAGCTTGAAAGAAAAGAAAAAGGGTTTGAATCTCTAGTAATATATAATTGAATGGTGGAGGTTATAAGATGAATAAACTCGATCATGGTAGCTATGTATCAGTGATGTTACGTTAGAGAGGAAGTTAACTAGTAAACTTGGTTGAATGGAAGTAGCAAAATTGGAGAGTGGAGATAAGAGGGTCACGGGTCAGAAAATGAAACCTTTCTTTGAACGAAAATGACTCGGTGCCGACTCTACCTTATGTTAGGTTTACTGCTTCCATAGAAGACAACTATTTCACTCCCTTAGCTACTATATGCTTTAATTTCTCACGCCTACCTCGTGAGCAAACTTTTCCATCCATGTTTCACCACATATTCTAACTGCAAGCACAAACTTGTGTATAGCCACACTTATAAAAATAAATAAATACAACTTTTTAAATTAAAACTAACACTTAAAACATTACCCCTTATATAATATTAGTATCTTTTAGTATTAGACAATGTAAAACTTATTTATCTTGACTTACATTTGATATATTTTAATAAATTTTTCTTTAAAATTAACAAATTTATTAGATCTTTTCTTGTAAGTTAAGAATTAATTCAAACAAAGTTTTTTTTTAATATATATATAGATCTCAACTAAACAAGAAGCTATTTCAAACTAAGCTATGACATCCTTAATTTGTTGCACTCTAGCTGGTCATGTAGTCATACTACAAGCTTCATTTGAATTTTGAGGTTAGGTGGATTCACATGATCAATATCTTCTTTTTAAACATAATATAGTGAATATAGAGTTGTGAATGCAAAATTGCACCAGTACAAAAGTTTATGTTACTGCAAGGTGTATTCAGTGGTAGATACCTAATTGCAAGTTGCTTCCATTCTAAGTCCAACTGCTAACTGCAAAAAAGCTGTTACTTACAAAAGTTGTGGTGACTCATAATTAATAATGGAGAAAGGAGTTGAATGAACCTTTCAGAGCTAACAGAAGCGTTCTTAAGCCACAAAATCGACAATTCTTCAGAATAAGTACAACAATAACATAGAAAGAATACATTCCACGTATATATAATATCTACTGAGGGGCAAGAGAGTTAGGTGGGTGCCAAAAGCAGTGCTTACCTTGTGATATATGCGTCCTTCTTTTGTAAGATTAAGTATAAGAATATTTTTGGGAGTTATTTTTATTTTATAATTTATATATTTTTATATTTAAATTTAAAATTTGGCATATTATATCAAATTAAAATTATTTTTAAAATATTTAGAATTTTAAGATCATCGGTTAATCTAGGTTTAAGTGTGATTTTTAAATTTTAGTATTAGTATCTATAAAGATGATAGTGTCCTGATTTAAATATTTCATTTTCAAATATATTTTTTCAATTTTAAGTCTCATCTCTTTTATTTATTCCCACTTGTAATAACAAAATATTGACTGTTAATAATCACATTACTTGTAAATTATATTCAAATTTAAAAATACTTGTATAATGCACACAAACTTGCTCGTTTGAATATTTCTTTCTCTTTTTCTTATTTTATTGTTTACGTTTCTCTTCGGGTATATATCTCTTTTGACTTGACATGTTCATGCAGGCACAATCCCTAGTCAGAGGGGAAACTCATACGTATATATCAAATCAAAATTAACTCCGGATACGCAATTAAGCATTACAGAGACCAATATTTAATACTCTTTAATTAAGTTGGGATACTTTCTTTTTTATAAAAAAGGGGTTATTTCATAAAGGCCGAAATTTTTTTCATGATTTAGCTGTTATAAAGTTACAATTGATTATTAGTTAATCAAATTGCTTTCTAAGTCCAGAGTTGATGATTCGATTGTGCCCATTATCCAAGTTCGCTGGAAGTTGAAGACTCAAAACCAAACAAAACACTCATGGCTCTGCATCAATCAACCCGTATGTAATGCTATAGTTATATGACCAACAGTAATATTCGTAATAGTGGTAACAGGAACACCCAGCAAGAGTAAGAAATGGATTCTCAATTTCTCTAGACGGCTTGTGCATGCCACCATCATGATTAGAAGTTTATATATATATATATGTGTGTGTTGTGTGTGTGTGTGTGTGAGTAGAGCCCTATAAGAGCCTAGTTACAAGGTCTCTTTGTTTTCATGGGCTTAACTCCGAGGTTTTTGTGGTAGAGGCCTGTTTGTTCTATGAAAACCAGCCCACTGGACGATAACTGAGGTGAGTATCAACAATAGGTTTATTCACAAGAATTTTGGGTTTGCACGGTTTGAACTCACTTTTGCACCCTTAGCTAAGCTGTTTTTGCCCAAAAAAACAAAGCTAAGCTGTCAAACTAGCAAAATTCAACAAAACCATGGTCTTTATACATGTAATACAATGGTCCCAATTGGATAAGCTTCTAAATAAAATTCTTATAATAGAAAAAAATTAATATATAAACTTCTTTTATAAATTAAAAATGATAATATTCTTCAATTTTTATAAAAGTTAAATGAGAAAACTTTTAGAAAAAGATATACATAAGTTGATTTTAATTTATAAAAGGAGTTTGATTTATTTACTATTTAACTTTTTACTTTTCTGTAAATCTCTAGTTTATCCAAACTAGATCAATATTATTCTCAGTAAACATTAGTCTATAAAAGCAATAGGTTTATTTACAAGAACTTCCATGTGATTATAATTTTATTGAGATGAATCTCTGGTACCGCATATCTCATCACAATTTCATTTTGCATTCATCCTCACAAGGACATCATGCTTCAGAGTTTACATGGATAAATTTATGAAAGCAAACAACAGATAAAACACAACCACTACAAAAACATTAGTTGCATTTACACTGGAGTCAAACCAACCACGCCTGCAAACAATAAAGCATAACAGAGATGTTATTAGTCATTACCAAGGAGAAACGAAGTATAGGATGCAAGGATGTCGAATTTTCCAACAATTGCAGATTTATAAGCAACAACTTTTCTTAATTAGGCAATAAAATGTTTTTGTCCATGCCTTGAAGAAGATAATCAATGATATGTACCGGTAACGATTTTCACACTAAATCTTCGGTCTGAAGACTCGTTACAAATTTAATGAGTTTTTATAGTTTAATTTATAAAGAAGTCATTTTTTTTTAATATCCAAGTAGTAAGAAAAAGGGAATCCGAGATTTATTCATTTTGTTTTAACTGGACAATCCCATGGCTATGTCATTAGTGCAAGTTTCTTCATAGATTTTACTAAGACCTCCAGCCACTATCTATCTACATCCATTATGAGCACGCACCAACACTTGCAATGTATATATCATGTCAATAAAGGATGTGTGTCTGATAAACTTAGGTGTAATCATCAGTTATATATACAGAATTAATAAACAAACTTATAGAAAATAACACGAAAGCAAAATTTGAATCAAATAACATATAATCATATCAAAATGGATGAATTTGAAAAGAATAGAATTATTCTAATCCATATTTTGTCATACCACATGCCAATCTTCCACCAGCATTTCCAGTGCTCAAACTAAGTTCCTGGCCACCTACAAAGACAAATGAGACAAGTAAAAATGCTCCAGCAATGAACACAAATGAAACTTAACATACAAGGGTGACATACAAAACAATAACTTGAAGAGGGAAAGTCAATCTCATACTTATGTCATGATATTCTTCACCACACATTCATCTAATGTTTTACTTAGCGAACACAAAACTGCTGAAGCTTGTCACAATTATTTCCTCTACAATAGAGTTGTAAGGCAAATATAAATTAATGTTCAAAAGGTATTGCTAACCCTTTCCAAGGTCATCCTCAAGCTCATGAACCACTAAGGCTCTTCCAACTACTGAATTTGGGCCAAAGAGTGGTATCTGCACATTTTGGGCCACAACACTACAGTTAGATACAACACAATTATACAAATACAATAAATTAGAAATTAAAATCCACAGACATAAGGAGAAAGGGTTAAAAACATGGTATAAGACAATCATATGAAAACACAGGGAGCACCTGATTGTCCACAATTGTTGCTTCTGCAACCCCTGTCTTAACAAAATGATAAAATGAGTGCATAAATGGATCGAAATAGCATTCCAAAGCAAAGGGAAGTGAAAAAGAAGAAAAACACGCTTTACCATCGGCATTAGCAACTATGTTTCCCAGGTCACCCGCATGGCGTATTTTATCTTTAGGAGCACCATGTTTCAGCTGATCAGGATTGAAATGTGCCCCTAAATATGGCATTCAATTCAAGAAGCAAAACTTCACAGTAAGGAAAGAAAACCAAGGTAAAAAGAGAAACTATGGTTAGGCCTCACCAGTCGAAATACACCCTTTTGTTAAATCACCGAACTCATGCTGTTAAGACAAAATAGTACATGTTAGAAAATGATTTAAAAAAAAGGGAAACAATTCTTGTATAACTTAAATTTACTTGTACTTTTAACTTTGGGTGTATTTTTGGAATATATGTATATTAAAAAGATAAAAAGTGAGATACAAAAAAAATTATATATTTAATATTTAGTTGTCCAAACTGACCAGGTGAAAACCATGAGGCCCTGGAGTAAGACCAGAGACACGAACATTAACAGTTGTTGGACCTACACACCACAGATAGGTAGTTAATAAGTTGAGAAAGGCAACAAAGGAAGCATTATTAGGAAGTTTCAATCTTCTGTATTGTTTTCAATAGGGAATGGTTCAAAGTTCGAAACTTTGACCAAATTTTCACTATGGTGTATGGTGAGTTGGAAGAATGTGAAGGAATTGTTTCCCTCACTGGTGGGTGTAGTGAGAAAAAGCAGAGAGAAGGAGAAAATGGAAGAGAAAGAACCGTTGTCTTGTTGGGTTAGTGTGACAATGCCTTCCGCGGTGGAATTGCCCTTGAGGACAGCAACAGCTTTCTGGGTATTGGCAGGAAGGGTTATGGATTGAGGAGGTGGGAAGGAAGAAAAGAGAGGTTCTTGGAATGAGAGAATAGTGTGGGCAGCCATGGCTGCGAATGCTGCTTCCATTGAGCTAGCCAATGCACCAAGATGAGATTCACTTGTCAATTGTGATCTTACAGATAACAATGCAACACTCTGACCTTGGTGTCTAGTGGATAAGCCATGTACTGTACTTGTCATTGTGTGCCACTCTTTTGTGTAGGGTTACATGGTACTCATATTTTGTCATGTTTGATTTTTTTAAAATTAAATTATAAAATTTATATATATCACATACTATAATCAGTCGAGATTATATGATTTTGAATCGTACAAATTTTTTAAGAAATATTTTTAGATTAATTTTACCTTTTAGCTTGAATTAGTTTTCAGATCAAAAAATTATTTAATTTGATCATAAAAAAAATTATGATTCAGCTTTGATTAGTATATTTAAATTTTATTTTATAATTTAAAGAGATAATACTTTAGTTTTGTAGTTAAGAATTTTTTAAAAAAAATGTATGTTTAATGTGCCTTTGATTTGAATTCTATAAGTTTAAAATCATATTTTAAAATATGCAAATTTATTTTCTAAATAAATAAATAAATCAGCTTATTTATGTTATTGCGCTAGTATTTTATTCCCTTTTTTTTAAGCTTTTCCATGTAACGGATATTTCTAACTTGCAGAAAAACTATAAAATATTTAAAACTTATGTAATTTCCGTATTTAAAACTTTTGTATTTTTTTTCACTATAACATCTATATCCACATTTCTCATGATGCTTGTTATGGTCTATATTTTAGAAAAATTCACCAAAAATTTTATCCAACGGATTATTTCCACAATTAAAAGATAATACCAGTTAATTATTATCTTATCATAATATAATAAGAGATAAGATCTCTACACACTATATATAGAGGCGAAAACCATCAAAATAAACTCCTACTCTCCCTTTTCAGCAAATAATAATAATAGTAATTCTTACTTTCACTTTGAGCAGAGTGTTTCTCGTATTTATACCAAATTCATTTTGGATTTTGTGGAAATTCAAGTTCATAAAGGTAATAACAATGTTATCATATAAAATTTTGTTAGTTTTTTAATATTATAATTAAAAAATGTGTATTTAGTAGTTTAAAAAAGTGTATTAACATGACTTGAATAGAGTATTAATAAACAAAAAATATATGAAAAGTAGCATGAGGTTAAGTGCAATCCAAGTGTGACATTAGTGATTAAGTGATTGTATTTTCACTTGTGAGTTGGAATTTAAAGTTGAACTGTTTAGACCTAACTGGAACTTGAAAGAAAGTCCACCTAACAAATAGGGAAGAAAGTGCAGTGGAAGTGCAAACTGCGAAGTCCCAAAAGTGAAAAGAAAAACCAAAAAAGAAAAAAAAAAGAAAAAGAAAAAAGAAATGGGATGAAGCTTGAAATCGAAATCTTGCAGAGCAAAGAAGGCATTGATGGAGGCACGAAACCCTTCTCCTTCACCGTCACAGTCGCCGGTTAGAGTCCTCATTCGCCCTTCGTCGTCTCCTTCTTCCTCATCCTCCGACCATCCCTCAGCCTCTGCGCCGCTCCCTCGCTCCTCTGACGGCGTCGTTGTTGTTGGTTTCATCTCTCGGCGACGCGACGATTCCACTCAGCTTCTCAACCGAGTCATCGACTCCAACGCCTTCGCCTCCGGCAATCTCGACACGCCGTTGTTCGTTGACGATGAGGAAGCCAGGGAGTGGTTCAAGCGGAGGAGAATTAGCTACTTCCACGACCTCGATAGGGGGATTTTGTTTCTTCAGTTCTCGTCCACTCGCTGTCCCGCGATTCACGCCGACGTGGAACCCGCGCCGGGATTTGATTCCGTCGTCGAAGAGCACGAGTTCGGTGACCTACAGGGAATGCTTTTCATGTTCTCTGTAAGTCATTTTCTTCACTGTTATAACCATTTTATCTTATGCAAAATAATCTCACATTATCAATAGCTTAATCTCAGCCTCTGAATTGCAGTCAGAGAAGTTGTGATATATTTTCAATCGTTTTGTTTTTCGTTATGCGTAGTTTGTAGAATTAGCATAAGATTTAGATTATGAAAAAATGGATTAGGAATTCCAATTTTACTGTTGTAGTTGGTGTAAATTGTGCATAGTTGGTGGTGGAATTGACAACTTAGAAATGCAGGTTTGCCATGTTATCATATATATTCAGGAGGGGTCACAGTTTGGAACTAGGATTTTAAGGAATTTTCGTGTACTACAAGCGGCCAAGCATGCTATGGTTCCTTTTGTTAGATCCCAAGCTACACCACCTTTACTGTCTAGATCGCATCCTTCACCGTCCTCCCGACCTGCTTCGTTGGCGAACAATTCTTCTCCAGGTAGAGGTGGTGGTAACTTGAGTCGCAATGCCTCGGCCATATCTCTCATGTCAGGTTTAGGTTCTTATACTTCTTTGTTTCCAGGACAGTGCATACCTGTCACACTGTTTGTATTCGTCGATGACTTCTCCAATTTATCAAATTCCAGCACAAGCGGGGAGGACTCTTCGGAAGTCTCTTCACTTAATCAGTCTTCTAGTTTGAGTGGTGTATCCAAGGGAAATCTACCCGCTAAAGGTTCAGGTTCTGTAGTTGTACTGGCACGCCCTGCAAGTCGATCTGAAGGGGGGTTTAGGAAGAAACTGCAATCATCTCTTGAAGCACAAATTCGCTTCCTGGTTAAGAAATGTCGAACATTATCAGGTTCTGAAATAACTCATTCTGGTGTGAGAACTGGGGGTACCTCAACTTCTGCACCTTTGTTTTCTCTTGATGCATCAAGGACAGTTGTCTTGTTAGATCAGCTATCAAACAAAAAAGGTGAGTCACTTGAGTTTGCCACTGGACTTGTTGAAGATGTCTTAAATGGGAAGGCAACCTCAGATTCCCTTCTTGAAAGCCATGGCCAAAGTACAAGCAAAGAAGATTTAATATCTGTTAAGGATTTCATTTACAGGCAATCAGATATATTGAGAGGGAGAGGGGGAGTAGTTAACACCAACAGTGGTTCGGCTGCTGGTGTTGGTATGGTTGCTGTTGCTGCAGCTGCAGCTGCTGCCTCAGCTGCATCTGGGAAAACACTAGCTACTCCTGATCTTCCAAATTTTGAAGTTTGGTTATCTTCTAGTCATCATATCTTGAGTAGAGTTCTCTGTGCAAAAGGGGGTTGTTTGGATGAATATGAAATTATTAAAAGAAAACCTCGTCCAAAGAACACTGTTTCACCAGCAGTGGAAGGATCTTTGAAGAGTACTAATCCTTTAGATGTTGCTGTATCTTGGTTACAAAGTGGCAGAGGGTTGAACACTAAATTTTCAACTAAGTGGTGTCAAAGAGCCATTCCAGCTGCAAAGGAGATTTATTTGAAAGATTTGCCTGCCTGGTATCCTACTTCACAGCATGAAGCCCATTTAGCTATGGCCTTGCATGCATTTCGCTCAATGGTAAAAGGATCTGCAGTGGAACTTTTTTCTAAAAAGCTTGAAGAAGAATGCACTTCCATTTGGAAATCGGGAAGGCAACTGTGCGATGCTGTTAGTTTGACGGGAAAACCATGCATGCACCAAAGGCATGATGTTGAAACCAGTAATTCAGACTTAGGAACTTTGACCAAGCCACATTCTAGTGGCTACTTTTTCCTTCAAGCATGTGCTTGTGGTCGTTCCCGACAGCTACATGCCGATCCTTTTGATTTTGAATCAGCTGATGCTAGTTGCTACTCTGACTGTGATAAGTTACTTCCTGCAGTCAAACTACCGGAAATGGAAGTTGCAGGACTTGTTCAATCGCCCACTTGGAATTTGCTTCGTGTTGGAGGTGCAAGATATTATGAATCTTCTAAAGGCTTACTTCAAAGTGGATTTTCTGCCACTGAGAAGTTTCTTTTGAAATGGACAATATACCTAGAGAAACAGAAGAGATCAAATGGTTCGGCAGAGAGTATAGTGAAGCAAGATTCTGTAATTAAGGAACCCAAGGTTGAATATATTGCTGATGCTAAGAAAAATGGTGTTAGACAACCCCACCCTGCTGTGCAGAATGGAGTGGAAGACCAAGGAACATCTTTAGATATCATGAATGCTGATGATAAAAAGATAAGTTTTGGAAGAGGTTTTCCCACTTTCAAAATGAGAAAGCCTTTTTCTGAGGTTGTTGCTGGATCAGCAGCTAGTGACTCTGGATTCCCTCCTCTTCAACAAAGGAAATTGCCTACACCAGGTTCAGAAAAGAGTATGAAGCAAAGCAGGTCAATTAATCAGAACCTGGAACGGGTTAATGCATCCATTGACCATGGAATTTCTCAAAAATATCAAGATATATCATTTACTCAGGGACCTCTTGATGGTAATAGCAATAATATCTGCAGGGATAGTGACCCTTTTTTGAGGATAGGTAGCAATGTAGTCCCGGTATACTTGAATGGTGGTGAAAGGAACAAGTCACATTCTTCTTTAAAGCATGTAATAGTATATGTTGGATTTGAGCATGAATGCCCTCGTGGCCACCGTTTCCTGTTGAAGGCAGAACATCTTACTGACCTTGGATCTTCATACTCATTATCTGAAGAATCTCATATATCTTCTTCTGTGGAGCCTGCTGGCAGAAATCATGCACATCATACTAGAGTAAGCAAGAATGCTTCCTGGACCAAAGTTCATCAAAGCTCAAATAAAATTCTTTCTGCAACCTCATACGAGGAAAGAGATGTGAAAAAATCTAATGAAATGATTCCTAATGGTGATTTGAATTCAGACAGACTAATATATACTTCCATTCCACTAAAGGAACATAATTTGACATCAATGAATGCATTTGCTAGCCCCCTGAATCTTATAAAAGATTTTGGAGGGGATCTTCAAGCTGTTAGCATGAGTGGGGATGATCTTGCATTCTCCATGTTAAATCGAAACTTGCCTATCTACATGATCTGTCCTCACTGCCGGCATTCTAGGAATAAGAAGGATACACCAAAGGTTAAGTTTGCCAGTGGTATCTCGCAGCTTAAACGGATAATTTTGGTATGAGACTATGATTTTCTGCTCATATACATATTTCAATTACCATCATTGAATTTTTCTTTTCTGTTAATACAGACTAATCTATAGATACTACTGTAGGTGACACCTGCATTTCCTGTGGTACTTGCAACATGCCCTGTTGTACAATTTGAGGTATGTCTTTCTTCTTTGGTGTGGATTTCATGAAAATTTGAATTTAAATTATCATTAGTCCACAAATTTAAAATGCTAAGTCTTTATACAGATTAGAGTTAAACTTCTCAAGAAATAGATGTTTTATGATGGGAGGGAACAACCTTCTGTTGTGTACTATTGGCCAAGTTGTGTTGCATACTATTTGTCAAACACCATGTCACTATCCTTTCATCTTAATAATGGCTGAGATTACTTTAACCAAAATTTTGTACAATCTACAAGAACTGGAAAGCCTATAAGATTTACCTGTGATTTTCTAGCTGCTATCTGTGAATGAGTTTCATTATTGGAGTTAAATTTATATGGCTGTGGTGCACTGATGCTCAATAAATAGTGTGCTTGGTTTCAAAGAAAGATCATGTTTGTGGCACAGATATTTTCTTTGTGCAGTGTTCAAGATTGTTTGGTTAACTTCTGGGTTTTGAAAACCAATTTTATGGACAATATAATAAATTTTGAGAAAACTTGAATATAATTTGATTTCAGTTACAAGACCCACAAAACATTTCTAAAATTTATACTTCAGCAATGATTCTACTTTATTGTCTAAACAAAATCAGTTGTTCTATACTTGCTTTTAAGTATCATTCTCAAACACAGATTTTTTGACCCAACTCTTTCAAAATCTAAAACAAGCAAACTATCAATATAATTATTGCATGCTTATTTGCTCTATTATTGGCATTGTTGTTTGTGCTTGTAAATTTATATTAGGATTTTTGTACTCTGTGATTATGCTCAATTGTATAATTTTCTAGCTATTTTGACCTTGTAGACATCATGCCTGCCTCCCTCAGTTCCAGACCGTGAACAAAAATTGCAGTTTAGCATTGGATGTCAAGTGATCTTGCCACCAGAGAGCTTCCTTACCCTTAAATTACCATTTGTGTATGGTGTGCAGCTTGAAGATGGAAACAAACATCCTCTTAAGCCCTTTGAACAACAGCCTGAAATGACTGCTTGGATTACCAAGGGCACAGTACTTCAGATCTTGTCCAAAGGGATCAATGACGAGGGATGTCAAACACAGTAAAAGCTTACTAAATCACTGAGTGGCCTTGCTAGAATGAAAAGGAAAGGATGTGAATAGCTTCTCCAAAACTCAGGTGTGTTCATTACCCTCTTTTTTCCTTTTAGCTGACATTGAGTTTGAAAATTCAATTGACAAAAATATGCACCTTGCAACAATTATTGATTATTGAAGATCCTTTATGTTAAAGGAAAACAAAGTTATATTATGTGCAGAATGATTGCAACGCCTAGTTCCTGCTTATCTCACTCCAGATTATATGTTGTCTTCGTCCTTTGTAGAGAAGCGACAGTAGTACATGATCAAAACTTTTATAACCAAAGACAGCGATCAAGCATGAAAGAAATGCTGATTTATTTAATTTTTTGTATGAAAAATTATTGATTCTATATCTCTACAATGTATGAAGATGCGCAAATCTAACTAAAAAGGATTCTAAATGACAACTTTTTAATATGTCCCTTCAAGGTGCCCTTGGCCCTTTCATAAAAAGAATTGAAATCATAAGAAGCAATTGGAGAGACAATATTGTGGCAATTGTGAAAGAATGTCTAGATAATCAGGTTCCCACATATGTTGTATCTACCATGAAGGACTAGCAGAAACCTTGTCACAAGTGCATTGTTTCTTTTGGCTTTATTCATTCGTGACAGAACTTAAACTAGTTGAGATTAAACTTTAAGTTGTTACCCACCCTTGAAACAATGCGTAAAATTTTCTGCACACTTTTTTTAAGCTTAATTATGTGCTTTTAAAGCTCTTGTACAAATTTTGAAGGTTTAGAATTGAATTATAAATGTCTCAGATCAAACATTGAGCCATTAATACTGTTTAAATTCACGTGCTTAGTTGTTGTCTGTCTCACATGGAATAATTGTGTTTGTGACTTTGTTGGGATTGGAGATGTGCATGCAGGGCAAGTAATTTTGGGGATGATGAGGATGGTCCTGAATTGAATTACTAAGCTGTAATGGAAATGCATGGAGTTCATCATCATTCAGGCATGAACTGGTAACATGGATTTACCTGTTTAGTGAGTGTTTGTTCTACTTATTTCAGATAAATAATTGCGCTTATTTTTGTCCACTTCTGCAAACACTTTTGAAAAACAAAAAGGGCAATTATTTTTAGAAGATATTTTTTCCCAAACAAGAACTTATTTGTATTGAAGTCCGATGATGTAAATTGTCTGTAGTACTCAAACTGCCAGCCTTTGAATTAGGTGCAATTGTGGACCTCTTGGCTACTTATGGCCCCAAGGTTGGCTTTCTAGCTTGTTCATAACCTCTTTTATAAACTCGTGTGGATAACTGCAAATTCATGGTTCAAGTATTGCTGTCTGGACTGATATGGATGAGACTGCCCTTTACGATGGAAGTGTTCTAGAGTTGGGAGGAGTTTGATATGTGCATCAATAACCAGAGAATTAGAATGGTCCTAGACTCCTAGTAATGGTATGTGACAATGTTTGATAGTGCAGTGCTCATGTTTCATATTTACTTTCTCAATGGCCCACTCTTAAAGGACTTCTTTTGTTATGATAAGGTTTACTCTTTTGCCTTCCTGACAGTAATTTTTTGTGTGTTGCTTGAATCTTCACATGATCTTAGTAATTTGATTAGTTAATACGTTCTTTCAACATTGTGCAGTTTGTTGTAATAGAAATGAAATATAGAATAAGCAAATAACAAGCGCCTTTTGTTAGATTATGCAAGGTTAGCGTAGGGGGGATGTTGATTGATGCCTTATTATTTACTTCTGGGACGACTAATTCGATTAGTAAATCTTGAATTTAAATTGAAGCCACATTAATTGATTTGCCACTGGAATAAGATGTTAAGGGGTAACTCTTGATCATGATATTCTATAAAAGAATATCATTATTCGGTTTCACATAATTCTTGGACCTCCTTATAAATTATTGTCAATAATTAGGTTGCTTCAGCCTGAGTACAGGCCTTGTTAATATATTTTTTCGTATGCTGATTGTTTTTGTTCGTGTGACTGCGACAAAACTTCCTATTAATATTCAACTGCCACAGACTTACTATGAAAGTGAAGTTTGCTTGCAGGTGAAGCCCCCTCAAAGTTATAGTCGATGAAAGGGTGGATGGCAGCATCTACGTAGAAGATCGTGTAACCAAGACACCAATTATTATCTTTCATGTAGTGAGCATATATAAGCAATGGTATTGATCCTGTGCATTTCAATATTCTACCAAAACCACGAAGGACAAAAGGGACAAGCAGGGGCTAGCAAGGAAAAACTATGCGCAATGCTGTCTCTTGATTTCCAGGACTGGGGGGCCATAAAATGTTCTGAGTGATGTCAAATTTGTCTGTGTTCAGGGTTCTTGGTATTGTTAACTTGCTGATCATCAAAGTGCTTGATTGGAGCTGTGGATGGTCGTTGAGAAAGACTTAAAACACTGTAATTTTTACATAATGTTGAAACTTTGTTGTTTGACGCCCTACATCCTCAACTGATTAACATTAAGAGGGGAAAAAGCATACTGTGCCTTTTTATGAGTAAACCTTTATTTTAATTCCAATCCCTGAGATTATAAATATATTACTTCATTTTATAAAACTTAATTTTAATCCTTAATTTTATATAAAAAAATTATTTCATATTTTTTTTACTTTATATTTTTAAAATTATCGTTTTACATTAAAAACAATTAAAGTGAGTGATATTTTGAAAAGTACTAATGGAACGTCCTTTTGTGTCATTTTATACTGATTTTCTACTAAAGTGAATGATAATAAATTAAAATTGATAATTCTCATGTCTCTGGGATTTCGGGTTTTGATTAATCTTTGTAGTGTTATTATTTGTTCGGAAAATTGGAGAATTATACAGAACCGAAAGTAGCAAAGGTGGATTGGTTATAATTTGCGATACTGTTATTATATTGATGATAGGCTCAAACTAAGGGAAGATGCGGGCGTGCATATTATTTGTTTCATGCTTCATAATGGTCGCTCAAATGAAACTTTTTCGTCATACTTGGTACAGTGAGTCAAGCAGGAAAAGATGCTACAATTTCAAATCCTTGGTTCATTAGAGCACCTGTCACCCATAGCTTCAAATTTGGCAAGTTAATTTCTGGTTCATATCCTTTTACCTGTTTTCAACACATCAATCAATGACTATATTCGTGAGCAAAATCATAACTCATTTAAACCAAATAGAAAGATTGAATTGCAAGGGAGACGTCTTACATTCAATGTAAATGTAAGTATAAAACTGTCAGAAACTGTAGCAAGGTTTGAATTCTGAACATTAAAACCTGCAAGAGACTCGAGAGCCCTGTACAACGAGGCAGCCACCCCTTCTCCTTTATTGCACACTATTTTTGCATAATACCCTCTTTCCTCAACTTGAAACATGTTCACCTACAAAGCAGCATGCACACATGTTACGGTAATGTGCATAAAGAGGCTCACTTGACATGATTTTTCTTTTTATAATCAAACAAACCTGCATGATCTTCTTGCAGGTTGGATGACTATTATGGGTGCCCTTAACATTTTTGAGGTTATTTATAGATCCTTGGTATTTTTCGGACACTAATAAGGATGCTTCAAGTCCTGCAACCTCAGCCTTTAGCTTCTTGGCTTGTGCTTGAAGCTGATGCACGTATGCCACTGCATCTCCAATTATAGAGGCCTTATCCATCTGTGGATATAATTTAGTTATATTTCACTCTCAAATGTAAACCATGTAACTTTTAATTGAACTTTCTAGTGTGTCCTCATTAAGTTTGTTTTATGTGAAACTTAAAAGAGCTAACCGTCTTAGTATTTTAATACAGATAATCTATTTCATTTGAATTGTTTAAAATCATCAATTTTTTATTATAAACTTATTAAAAAAGACATGAAATTATTAGTAATGTTTAGTTTTGTTATTACCTTCTTCAATTACTTGGAATAAAACAGGAAAACAAAAATTTACTGAAAAATAATATCTTTCATTATAATTTCCAAATTTTAGTTTATTATAAATACTTATTTCTGTTTTTTAAGATTTTAATCATTACCGAACATATTTAAATAATAACACCAATAACATTTTTCTATCAATATAATCGTAAAAAATAATCTAGTTCAAACATACCTTAACCTTCAACAAGAAAAATTGGAAAACTAAGAATATCAGATTAAACAATTAACTCTGCAACGTGACCATAATGCTGAGAGATTTCTGAAACTAATGTGAGATCTTTGCAATTTCTAGCAACTAGTTGTTTAAAAGAAAAAGTTGGACTGAACATTTTAGCACCCGCACTCTTTGTACATTGGATTAATAAGACATTTAGTTAGTTATCGTAACCTTACAGATAAGTATACGATGCCTGATGTGGGACAGTATTAAACTATAAATACACCTACTTCTTGTCATTAAAAAATCAGTCAGTTTTTTTCCAATTCTATTCTATCTTCTATTGTTCTATTATGGATTTCAATACAGTTTTACTAGCTTAAATTAATTAATCGAAATGGGTCACGTACCTTAGTTATGTTGGGAACCAAGGAACGCAATTCATAAAGCTTCTCCTTCATTCGGCCTCTCCTTCTCCTCTCAGAAATGAGAGTCTTGGACCTATCAGTTTTTAGTCTCGGTTTGGCATCAGTAGTTGTTGTTGTTGCAGAAGAATGCTCTCCATCGTGTTCTTCTTCTCCTTCTCCCTTAACCACTTCATCAAAGCAAGAGAAGGAGCTAAGTGTAGAGCTTGGATCATACACATTCACAGCATTATTATCATTCTGTTCAAAAGGGTTTGCATGACATGAAAGGAGCTGATTATCCATGAAGGGATCATTGATAAGGTCAGAAACGAAGTCACAGACGGCTTCTTCATTCTCCCCTCGAATCAAATTGATGAACTGATCAAAGTTAGGATCTTCAATGTAGTCGTGCAGCTCAAAATCATTGATGTAAGCCAGTGTGTCTTGGTGAACATCCATTGCATCAGTAGACTTTAGTTTTGAACTTGTATAGTTAGAGTCTAACTGTAATATATATAAGGTTGACGTGATTATTTATATGTTGGTTTTGGTGTGAATGGAATAAGATGAGTTAGCTTTCATGGCACCGAAGTCTATTATTTTATTTTTTGATGTTAGTTACCTAGATGTTAGTCACAAAATCTAAGTTAGTTGTTAAAATAGAGAAAAAATATAATCAGTTATTTTTTACATAAAGTAACTATCAAGTTAAAAGTAAAATTTTTATAATATTATAATACAATTTGCTATTTTATATAATAGTGAATTTGAGCCTTAAAACAAAAATATGAAAAAAAAATGAAAGAAATAAAAATATTAAAGTGAATGAGTAAATAGATAAAAAAATATATATAATATAAAAAATGACTAAAAATCGTTTAAATTGATTTAGTCATGTGCCGATAAAATCTTTGAAGAATCAATAAGGAGAGTGATTTTATAACTCTTAGTTTAAAGAAAAAAGGGTATTCAAAAAATTATAGACAAAGTTACTAAAGAAAATATTTTAATTAATTAAATTTTTAAAATTTTAATTTTTGTCCGAACTTAATAACATTGTGTGATCGTGTAAGTAACATTATTTAGTGAGATAAAGTTTAGTTGTTGTTTATTAGTTAATTAGAGTAAAAATATGATATTTAATCTCTAATCTAGTGTATATTTAATTATAAGATAGCCATGATCGTTATGTTTAGTTAGCATGTGTCGAAGGTTTAGTAAAAGATGTGATCAATTTACTTATGAATAAATTCATACTAGATTTTTTCAAGCTAATTTCAAGGGTATATAATGGCCATTAAAAAATATGTATTTAAATTAATTTGGATATACACGAGTTGCATTCAACAGTTAAAATTAGTTTTTCATCAAAATCATTTTTCACTCAATTTTATATAAAATAGGCACAATATTTAGTTTGCCTTTTGCAAATTGAACTGATGAATTGAAGAAATTGCCATTTTGCACTCCAAATTATATATATATAGTTAGAAAACAATGGATGGTTGGGTAAATGTTATATATAAACGATGTTAAATAACCTTTCTCCAAAAGCAATCATTTTCATATCAAGCTGGTTAGCATTAATATCACTATATTATGCCGCTGTAGAAGTGGTTGAATCTGAGCAATTGATTCAGTCCAGGTCTTATCTATATAAGGAATAAAATTCTATTTAGTTTCTGTATAACCGAGCGTGTGCATGAGCATATTCCTCGACTTTGATATTAACTGTAGTTGAAGCCAGTTTTGTTGCCTAGCTCATTGGTATAAGAGTCACTTTCTGATGATCATGGCCACTGCAACTTCTCAATCGAGATTAAAAAAGATGACCTAAGTGGTCTATTTCTATACTACTATTATTGTGTGAACGGAATCAAATCAAAACATAATGACGTCCCTCGCATGTTTTAAATTCTATTAAACAATTGTGAAGTACTGTGAAGGGAAGTTTGTGATTTCATAATCATTAGATCCCTCAAACTTTGCATAATAATAGCACGTAATAATAGCTGACATTAAGATGCAAGCTGGACCCTAATTAACGTTTTACGCCCGTAGACAGAGAAAGAAATTCATGGTTTTGTCAATGATTAATAAATATACAAGAAATATTAGTAACTTATTTATTAAAATTTACTGGAAGTTATAAAAATTATTTGAATTTCATTTTCAATTAAATATTTTTTTATTCTTATTCTTATTTTTTTCTAAATAAATGAAAATATATTAAAAATTGTGTTCTTATCGCTTCTTTAGCTTAATTAGCCAGTGATCTTGCTTTGGTTTTTTTAATTATTGACTTACTGCTGTTGAAATATATACATGTAAGTATTCCAAAACTGTCAAAAAGTGTGTAAATAATCGAACCCGGGAGATCAAATGCAGGTATTCTATTGCCCTTATTGACCATAATCAAATGATTGAAGCTCTGATCCTCTGACCTTTTATTTATTTGTTTGTTTATTTTTAGAATCTAAACTGACAACAGCAACCACGGTTTTGAATTTTGATTCCATTTTCTTTGGCTTTAATCCTCTTTGGGTTTGGAAGGAAGGAAGAACCATGCAGAGTTGAATGCAATTTTTTAATAAACTCCATTGTTTTTGGACAATACTTAATAATATGGAAGGCATGTGAAGGGGCGTGTGAGGCAACAGCTTTAGCTCATGTTTACACGTGCCATGGTCCATTATCTATATCTTATTTCCCATAAATCATAGCCACTAGTTCCATCGATGTCATTCTACCACGTGTATACCATAAGCTTCACAATCCCAACCATTATATAATAATATAGAAGACTATAATTTATTTCTAGCTATAGTTCTAGAAGCAAAGCAGCAAGGGCATATTATTCTACATAAATAAATAATTATCATAAGGTCATAAATAACTTGTTTTATTTTATCATCGTTTCTTAATTTCAGGCGATGTAGGGTGCAGCATGATCCATTCTATTCATTTGCAAAACTAAACTGAGTCAACCCTTGCATTATTTTCAGTCCCAAATACTATTACTATAGGTCACTCGGTGAAGAAATAAGGAAGTGCAGTGTATATAAGGTGAAACGCTTCGTATTTACATATACCTGTCAAGTTAAATCTAATTCCTCTAATAAATGAACACAAATTGATATGTTGGGGTGTTTATATTGGATCAGTGAACGAGTTTGCGTAATTGCTTTTCACCTTAACCATTAAACAGCAGTTTTATTGGTAATCATTATTTAAATATGAATAATAGCTTTCTTGATTATCACAGTCATACAAACATCATATTATTTTAACTTAATCAATGACGTCGAGGCCAAATTCTGATACGTAGTTAAATATTTTGAGAAAATGCTTTTTCACTTGTAGCGATTCAATGCTAATTTTTTACCTGAGTCATAGTCAACATGTTGTATTTAAATAGAATTCTATCTTTCAGATTTCGTTGAACCAATACCACCACTGGGACGAATGTGGCATATGCAGATGAAGTTCTTCAATCAGCATTTGACAATTAAAATATTTGATATTCGAACTTCATAGCAAAATTTCATCAATTATCTCTATATAATTTGCTTTTAAACTGCTAATTATAATAATCTTAAATAACTTTGTTGGTGAATGGCAAGTTTATCCCTTATTGATAGTCAGGACTAATCGCTTCTAGATGTGAAAATCGTCTCTGTCTTGACAAAAATCTTTTTTCTATATGCATGGACAAGAGTCAAGAATCCAACTCTCTCAATATGCTTGATAAATTTTTACTAATTATGTTAAACTTTGTCAGTAGAATTTTGATTGTTTATGTCTTGTTATTAATAACAATCTAAGATTATAGAATCCAACTTATTACAGTCTTATTATCCAGTTAGAGCTTGTATGACATGACATCCTGCCACTGTATAAAGTTTTTTTAAGAAAATCCACTACTACCTCAAAAGGAGAAACAAAAAGGGTTAAAAAAAAATGAAAAAAAAGGAGATTGCAGAACAAAGACAATTCCTTCAAACTTTATTGAATGTGAAGCCCATTATTTGTTAACTAAGTTCTCTCGATCCTGAAGATAAGAGCATGAAGGCAGTAACCTATACACCTTTCAGACAAAAAGCATTATGACAAGGTTGCAGGGTGATCCATAGTAGCTAGGAAGGGCCACTTTGGGATGAGACAGTCTCTGTTGCTTGAAGCCTTAGCCCATATATTTTGTTGGGTTAGTGCCTTTATTCAAAAGAAGGACCTTTATCTTGTCAGTTGTCACATAGAAATCCCAAGTTTGAATGTAACTGTCATCAGTCTACAACCAACTATAATTTAAAAAATTAAATCCCACCTTTTTAAGCTTAAGGCTTTTACTTCTTTTGCAGGCTTCATAGAGTTTATAAGATTTAAAATAAACCTAGACATAACACATACACTTGCACTCATATTTTTCACTTTTTCTTTTGTCAAAGATTATTTTACATTCATACAACGCATAATTCTCTAGGGCTAATCAATCCATTTGGATTGACCTGTTGCGAGTAATGAGTTTTAGCATATCAGACAAAACACTCCAAATCCAATTTAGATTTGAAAAAATGGTGTTTAAGTCTTGCAAAGTTTGGTTTTTTAGACTTTTGTGAGATTTTGCAGGATTAACCTACAAATTTAAAGTCCATACCTTATATTTTGTGGAGTAAGTTTAAACTGACCCAATTAAACACACAAATTGTTTGGATCAAAGATTTTTGATAAAAACAACGGTTTAAAGCCCAAGATAGTACATATAAAAAGAGCACATGCCCAATCGAAGCTTCTGCAAGAAATATATTAAAGATTAGGCCACAACATCTAAAGGCAACTCCTTAAAGACGTAAAGCAAGGTTAAGAAGCAACTAAACCAAGCCCACCTAAACGAGCACTAACACTAATTATACCAACGATGATATTGGGAAGGGTCCTTAGGTAGAGAATTACAGGACCCCACCAAGTTATGTTCTTTCTTTGGAGAGGGGTGGCGGTGTTATATAATGAGGTCGAAGGGCGCGGACACAAAAATTGTCTTCAAGTCCTTAGCATCACAAAAAATAATGTGCTTATTAACTTAATTTTGGAACATGTTTTTCTTCCCAAAATTCCTTAGGATATATTTGAAAGGGTGTTTATAAATTATTTGTAATAATAATTACATGATTAACAAATTAAATTTATATTAATATATTGATTTATATATTTTATTTAAAAAATAAACTTATTTAAAATTAAAAAATTACCCTCCCCTCCAAACAACCCCTCAGAAAAGACAATTATTTCCAACCCAAAAATGCTGTACCACATAAGTGGAAAACTTCTTTCCTCACCAAAGGGAACCTCCATATATTATAATTAATAGCTTCATGGTCAAGAAGGCTGATATTTGCAAGCCTGTTACAGGCCAATTTCATTCTCTATACTTGTGACTTATCCTCAACTCCTACTCCCCTTTGATAATATTCTTCAACCAAGTTACCAGCTGCTTTCCCAGAGATTCAAATTAACTCAAGTTGTGCTCATTTGATGTAATACAAGGCCATGCGTGAAGTTCAATCTCACGTGTAAATGTTTGGCAACAACACCAGCACCACTGCCAAAATGGGTTTGAAAAAGAGACAGCATTTTATTTTTTGGTAGCAACTTTTAGCGCTGGCAATGCAAAAAAAAGTAGCATGCACTAACTTCAAGCAAACAAAAACTGGGTGGATATAGCATATGTAGCTACAAAAAAATTGAGCAATCACTTCATTTCAGATAGCAGTCCCTATAAGGTTATACCCAGCACGTGTTTTACAGGAAGAATAAGGGACCATTGGGACCACACCTTCACTATTAGCCCCCCATGCAATGTGTAATCTGTCGAAACATTTTCACTTCGTAGATTTACAAAAAATATCATGTGGACGTACACAGATATATGCCATCATGTTGCATTCAAACAAAAGCTGAAAACTAGCAGTTTTTCCTAGTTCCTAACCTCTTAGACATAAATACTTTTTAAGAGTGGCTACATGCTGTGTCACAAGATGGTGTAGATTGGATTATAACCCGAGCCCCTGAAGCAAGCCTGTAGAGTTAAAATCAAACTTGTCAATCAATGACTGAAAATTGTAAGAACATTAACAAGTTTTATGAACATGTTTAGAATTGAGATAAAGTCAACACTTAACTTTCTTCAATTTTGATCATCCTCTCCTCTTCTCTAAATGAGTCCATTCTCTTAGATTGCTTTTTCCCTGATGAAGGTTCAGTGATTCTTTTGCTGCTGTTATTAGATGGTGCAGGAGAGTTTCCTGATCCATCAGAAGCAGATCTGATGGATTCACTAAGTGGCTGCTTGGTCAATGATGATTCCTCCGTGTCTTGTGATTTCAAATCTTTACATGTCCTGTGCACATTTGTGTACAGGTTTTGTTACAGATGAAACATTGGCCAAGATGTGATGACTACTGTGTTCCTATCTCGTGCCAATCAAAATCAACTACAAAACTCTAATATGAATCCAAAAAGGTAGCCACTACCCACAATAATTTGTCCCGAGCCATCTCAGTAGCATGTGATATAAGATAAGCCTTCCAGTAAGGACCTCATTTTGTAAGAAAGCAAGATCATGTATATTAAAATAAAAGGCTTAGAAAGAGTTAATGTGTAATATTTATTTAGCAACAATATATGACAAAAGTTTCTAATTATTCCCATGGGGCTTCTATCAACCCTCTGTACTGGAGACTAAATCATTAATTGTGATATTATACTGAACAATGTTTTAAAAGGGGCACATAAAACATGAAATGTCATTCTTCATTGATGCACAGATCCTTTTTGTCTGATTCAAGGGTGTCACATGAAAGGACACACAAACAAACTCACTAGAGTATTCAAATCTCCATTTGTCCAGCCTTTTGCTTTCTTACTTTTATTTTGTTCTTTTTTTTCCCATGTGGAGGATGCCTAATATTGGAAGTTCTAATTATATCTTCTTTTTTTCCCTTAGAATGATAACTTCATTAAAAAGCAACAAAGCCCCCTTCTTTTGTGCCTTTGAAGCCTCCATTACCTTGAAATATCTTGCTATACTATCATAAATAAAGATCTAAACAAGACAGTATAAGCACTTTATTTCATTCAATATTGTTTTAACTTTTAAAAACAGTTTGTGAAAAGAAATATAAAAACGCATTCATCAGAAATATTTTAGAATCTTTCAACTAGAACAAATTCAGAACTGATGTGATTTGAATGGAAAGTACAAAAAAATAATTGAAGTGATCATGTTTAAATTTTGAAAAGGAATGAAAGCATAAGCAAAAAATGGAAGCAGAGCAACAAAGTCTGGTCATTGCATACTAGTATTGAATTGGTAATAACAAGCAAGACAATGGATTATTTGTGTTTCTAATAATGACATTATTTGTTTAATGAAAGAGAGTTAGAATTTGGCTCATTCAGGACAAAATTTCAGGTCCAGTAGAAACTCTAAGTAGCATAACACCATATTCAAGCATCTTCCACCTTCGTACTATTGCACAACCTATGTGGTCCCTTAGCCTAATATAGCATTATTCACTTCTTAAAGAATGACTATATGCCAAAAAATGAGTCCTACTGCTTCATCAGACCTCAAGCACTTCTTATGTAACTTCCACAGCTTTGAACAAGTGTTCTCTGAAGTTATGACAAGGGCAGTTCATGTGCGACCGACCAAACAGACGTATGTAACAAACCAGCCAGCTAGCAGATAGATTTTCTGGTGCCATAATTTTGGTAAAGGAAGAAGTAACTTTACCTAATGCTAATTTGTTATGTTGCAAGAAAAGAATTGAAAGCAAAACCTACCTCTCAGCATTGTAAGAAGAGGAGCGTTTCAGAACATTATGTCCATCTTTGTCTTTCATTATTTTAGACTCAACTAAACTTCCACTGTAACATTCTTTGTCTTCCAATTTGAGCCCCATCACCTTTGGTTTCTCTGCTAGGCAATCAAATTCCCCCAACATAACAGAAGTAGAGAACAATGGGGAGGGGAACTTTGAATGGGAAAACCCAGCCTTGTAGGAAGGAATAAGGCCAACACTATGATTTTTCACGGATATAGACCCACATGAGATCAGTTGCATAAGCAGATTTGAAGCCTTCAGTCTTGTGTTGGTTTGCATTCCAATACCCTCGTCATCCAGGAACCTAAAGCTGTTCATTTTACTCACATCAGCTCTTATCAGGGACTCTAGAGTTTCGGTTTTCCCTCCTGAAGATGATGGACTAGATGTTGAGGGAGGAGGAGAAACAGTATCCTCACAGATTTCTGGACTATCTTTCACTTGTGGCAATTGAATTTGACATATTTCACGGCATTCAGATTCTATCGACCCATCATCAGTTGATACACCCCTGGTACAAGTTTTCTGGGTTTCTTCTGTCTGAGTTGAAGCATCTGCAAATCCATCACTCTTGTTGATTTTGTACTCAGTCAATGGTAAACTTAAACCACCACCCTTTCCATTTCCAGTTCTAGAGTCTGGAGAAACATCAGAGGAACCAGTTTGTTGTCCTGGAGAAAGCTCATCTTCTTGGGAGTTTCTGATCTCTTTCTCATTCATGCTAGAAGAGGTGGAAGCTTCATCATGGCTTCTACAAGTTGGCTCTGGCAACTGCTTCAGGTTCTGTATTCTCACGTTGCTAACCGGGCTGAAACGTTCTGTAAGGCAAAATTCACAATCATTATAAGATTTCAACAGGACATAAGAAAACACAACATCATTAAGATAAACAAAACATAAACATAGTATTCTTGACCTGAATTCGATTCGTAAAATAGCTCTGAACCTTTGAGGACATACTCATTTCCATGTGCAGGTAGAATTAGGTCATCTTCAGAGAGATCATGCCACACAAACCCATTCTTGTAGCTTCTGAAATAAATAATTATTACATAATAAACAAATATACACAATGAAAATTGAATACAAAATTCAAACAATTCGACTACAGAGTGAAGCAACACAAAGCTTTGCTTAACAGGCTTGATTGCTTCATCCAACTAAAATTATAATCATTAAGACACGTTGACTTTCCTAAAATCCAAAAGAGAAAAAGAAGGATCAGCAAGGACACACTCTATCAAGTCTCAGTATTATTCTTCTTTTATTCTCTCTATTGTACTTCTCACCATACACAAATTGAACACCAAGAGGAAATAGTAATTAATAAATAATAAATAATAAAAGGAAAAAACTCCCTCACCTCTTACAAGACCATGAATACAAGGAAGCAATGCCTCTACCTCTCAAAGCATTGAGTTTATCAATCACATCTACACACAAATCAAAATTCACATCCCATTAACAAAAAACAATGGAAAAATCCCAAAAATGTAGACTTTTTTCATTTGTACCTCTCAAGTATAACCCATCAGGGGATGAAAGTGGAACCTCCATGAAATGAGGGTGTTCTAGCTGCCTGTTCCGGCAAAGATAGTAAATGACCGGCACCTTCCGGTTCTGATGGTACTTTGTGGACTTCTCAGTCCACACTTTGGCCCTCTCAGGACTCACTTGCCGGTACTTCTTCAACCGCGCTTCCATACCCACATTCACAGCTCCTCAAAAGGAAAGAACTTTATAAAAAATTAAAGTACCAAATAACATAAGAAAGCTAGCACAAGAATCTATGTAGCCATGTTGGTTTGTTAAGTTGCAAATTATGGGGAGGGTGAGCCTAGAACAACGTGATGGGATGAAAAACTCCAAAGGAAAGAGTTATGTTATGTTGTACAGTGGTGAGGATGATGAAGAGGGAAGTGAACGCCCGGATATAAAGCATTGGGAAAGAGACAGAGAGTGTTGTAGTGTGGAGAGAGAGAGAGACAAGACAGGAAGTGAAGTGTTTGCACCTTACTTCCTGGTAATCTTTTGGCTGATTTGATGGACAGAGATGCTTGTAATCTTCACTCGCTTTTGCTTTTGCCTTTTCACCCCTTTTCTCATACCATTTTTTAATTCAGTGTTTCTTTTCTCGGTCTTCTCATTAAGCGCGGTAAAGTTCAAAAGAGTGATGACTTGCATTCACAATCAATTAGAACCCATTTAGTTAAAATCCGTCCTTGGCATATTAAACTCTGTAATTTGTACACGCTCGGATCAATATGAATTAATATGTTTGTTTTGGTTAACTCCATTGATCATTGTTATTTACTTTGGTATATAAAATTTCAGAATATGCCTCTGAAAAGAAAAAAAAAAAAAAAAAAGGGGGGTGAAAATGATTCTCATGCCCTGCCTCATGATCTTTTAATGGTTTTTCAGATCTTCATTATGATAATTATTTTATTTAAGAGCACATTCTTTCTCTTTCATTTTCCAATTAATGAATACAAAATAACATGTTCACATTTCAAGTATCCTTGTAAAAATATGAATTTAAGTTTATGATCACTTTCAATAAAAAAAAAAACGATTGTCTTATTTTTCGCATAAGCACATGAATTAGACATGAAAAACATTTGAATATTGTAAAATCTAAACAAAATACAAATATTTATCATTTGAGTTTTATAATATATAAATTTTTAAAAAATTGATTTTCTATTTACTCAAATATGCATAGACTTGTTTTTGGTATTTAACTTTACAGGTATAGACATATTGGGTCTCACGAGTTAAGAAATCACAACAGTAGCTGACCAACATGAAACTTTGACAATGGCCCACGTGCTAGAGATCTGATGAAACGAATTTATTCCATTTCTTTCTTGTTAAGAAATTCGTATTATTATTAATGTTTTGTTTAGCTCAAAAGATGTATCTGCACTTGTGGAAATTCGCGCTCCCTTTGACGGTTAAGGTAACATGAAAATAATTGAGAATATTGCGTGACAAAGTGCAAAACTACAAACAGATAAATAGACGAGGAAACAAAAGAAAAGGAGCAAAGAAAAGGAACAGTTTTCATGACATAACGACATTTTTCAATGACGTAAATATCTTTCCTTTTCAAGTTAAGGAAATGAAATTGTTGGAATATTTTTCTTTCATATATTATTATTCTCTCAATTGCTTTATCTTCTTTACGAGTGTACGCTGTTAAGGAGACGAAACTTGAACTAATGAACTTTTATGCATCTTGTGGGCCATTTTATATTGGTATTACACTATATCAAGCTTTCACTTTTGTTTTGGAAATTGTTATTTCGCTGTTTCTCCATGGGGCAATTCATTTCACTTCCCTCGTCCACTGTGTTTCGCTTCTTAGCAGCACAATTACTTAATTATTACTGATTCTTTTAATAAAAAACATATTTTTATAATTTTAATATGTTTTAATGCGAAAATATATAAAAAAAACATTGATAATAATTTTAATCTTAAATAACTTATAAATGATCTAAGAAAACTTATTTAGTCTGTCATGAATTTTAACAGATCAAACTGAAAAGACTAAGATGTAATTCAAACTCATAAAATTAGTGTTAAAGATGCGATAAAGTCAAATTTTTTTATTATGTTTTTATGGGCTTAATTCTTATTGTGCTTAGTTAGATCAGGTTAAAAGGCTTATATTTAATTTGGACTCAAAATTTAAATTTAATCTCTGCATTTTATCGATTCGGGCTAAACCAATCTATTTGCTAGCTCTTAGTTTTACATATTTTTTAATCAAACAAAATTATATATTTTTAAGGATACCTGTGATGTAAATTAAAAAATATAAGTATCTTCCACTTCAGGGATAGGTCCACACTATTGTTAATACGCATCAAACAAATAAAATTTTAAAAGGAGGTAAATAGAAAGGGGAAGGAGTAAACAATAAGGATCCATACCTCAAACATGTACGATTTTTCGTAAGCTGTGGGATAAGAAAATGTTTGGCATTACAATGAATTTAAAAGCGTACGAGCAGAATGCGAGAGAATGTACAAATCACGCAGAGCCAGCAGTAATCATGAAAATATGTCAATTGTGTAAATGGTGCATGAAACTGGTTCCTTAATTTACTTGACTAAGAATAAGGTTAATTGGACATCAACAGATTAGAACAATGTCGTTCTCCACCGAAGGTTCCTTTTTGTTTAACACTGGCATGAATATGATACAGATTCAGCAGGTAATCATCTGTTACAAACAAGCGAGATGAAAAGGGAGAATTCGTTGTGCTGTGTTTAGATATTTAAAGCGGTGCATATCTAGAATTTATAACATTTTCATCACATTTTTGGAGTCTTCAAGAATCTTCTGGAATATATACACAAAAATTTCGATAAAGATAATAAGGTTAAGCAAACATAGTCATAAAATGTTCTAAACGACTCCCATAAAACTATTTTGTCCTTCACCAATTTAATGCTAACTAGTAAAAGATATTATTTTCAGTTATTCATTCAATAAAATTTTACAAGTTATGCAATTCCTTCATTACTTTTTATCTCTGTCACATCACTGAAGAAAGTACTATATAAGTTGATATATAACTTTATAATATAAATAGAATCTCACATCAATCGTAACTACAATAGTATTTTTCATATAATCAACAAAAATAATCTCATATAAACACATACTTAAGCCCATGAAAAATTAAATAGAATTGTTTTAGGCATGTAAAAGGTTGTTGAGATCTCAAGGCTTCAGATTTTATTTAAACAAAGCATGAGAAAGCCAGGTATAATCTTTGCTTTTCCTAGTCTCAGCTGAAGATACCTCATTGTAGGAAGGAATATTTATTGTGAGTGCGAAATTGTACGTACAACATGGAATTTGGGTATGCAGAGAAGCATTAGTAACACCACATGGATCATCAAACGGTACACTTTTCATCCACAAATGGACATTTATCACAAGGTGCTGCTTGTAGGTTTCAGCATTGATGGTGATCAAATGCAGCCATATACTTTTCTCATTAACTATACTCTTTAGTCATTTTTCACTTTTTTGCAGTAATATTATATTAACTTTGTTTTTACTTATCTATTAATATAAAAGTTAAAGATGATATTAATTATTGTTATTTTTATTATTCTGCTAATGTTCTTTTGTCCATATTTCATCTGAGCAGTATAAAAGTTCAAAAAAAATCTATTAATAAAAGATAAAATGTCTTGCTAACCAGCACATTTAGAACATTAATTAAGATGCTGAAAATAATAAATTTTTATTAAAAATTATACAAGACTATATTAAATACCATTAAAATGTGTATTTATTATATTTTCTAACAAAAAATGTTAATTTTTAATTCTTTAACCAGCGGCTTAGCATTTGCCACAGAAATAGAGGTATTACTAATGACAATGCAGATAACTACCAGTGCTACACTTTAACGTTGGTATCATTCAATTTTGACAAAATCAAACTCCGCTTGCATTCCCTTCAAGCATAGCATTAATTAAATTTGATATGTCTATGTGCCCAATTCATGAGGGGAAAAGGCTTGAAATGAAGTCTAGTTATAACAAAAATCTGCTTAACTGAGGCCCACAAATCAATTCAGGCAATTATTCCTTTTGAATAGCCTACTTCTAAGGAGTGATTCAATTGGAGATTATTCAAATAGGGCATAGACAAGTGCATCATTTATAAGCTTGGGAAACTTGATCGCGTACTTGTTGCATTCAGCGACCAACTTTGCTTAGGTGAGGGCCATTAAATTATGGGGTATATTTTTTCTAGGGTTACACATAACACTTACACTTGCAACTTGCAAGTCTCGTATCCATCATACCAGTTGCCCACGTTCAAGGCAACTAAACCAACAAGGACCATTGTGTAGTGTGTAAGAGACACAGATAGGAACCCAATGGTTCATAATAATAAAAGGTAGGGTTCTTCCCTTCTCCAAGGGTAAACCAGCTACGACTTTTTTGGTCATAAAATAAGAAAAAAACTATTTGTACATTTTTTTTATAATTTAAAGAAATGTGATGGAGAGAAACAAAGATAAAATCAATAAATTATAAAGTGTTGCAAAAAGTATATAGATATAATATAGCTCATGAAAGAGTATAGAGATTAATATATTTAATGTGCAACTGCATGCATTGACATTTACGATAGATTAATGAAGATGTATAACACTTATCTAAAGTTGCTTGGGCGGTTGCCTTTGAAATCAAGCAAAATTTTTCAAATTTTAAATTCAGCCTATGGAAAGTTTGTGCGTAATATAGGAGCTAAGTCCTTTTGATAGACACTGTCGTGGAGATATCTTTTAATTTTAATAAAGTTTAGTTATTGTTAGTTGAAAATGATAGGGGCTTAAAACAAAAGCTATGTAGTATTTGAAATTTTCATGATTTAAGTAAAAAAAATGTATGATTTAGAGCAGAAAAAACATAAAGGAAGGAAAATGTGATTTGCCACAAATTTTTAAGAAAAAAAAAAATCCCATGTTTTATCCCCTTTCCTATAGGTGATCGTCTTGTGGACTTTGCATTGGTTGAGACCTGCTTCAGTGACAAGTTTTCATTTCAAAAATAAATCTTATGAGACAATTGTTTATTTTAATTTTTTAAGTATAACTCTTAAAAAGTAGGGATATTGAACTAATGATAGGAACTTATATAATTTACACAAATAAGTTTAAACCATTTCCATTACTGTTTAAAAAATAAAGAGAAAAAATTAAATCATTTTTTTTTCTAAGAGCGTTGTTCAAAGATATCAGTTTTAAGGATCAAATTAATTGATGGTTATCAACTAAGTTCACTCAAGTGATATATTTGATTTGTCTTACGTAAAACATATTTACACATATTTGCTTAAAGAACTAATTTCATCATACTCTTTAAATGTTTTGATAATTATTAGACAAAGATTAATTTTTGTTGTAATGTTAGAAATCAAAATAATAAAAGGAGTGTTTATTTCCACTCTAATATCTCTGTTATCATTATTAGTCTCATTTAATTAAAATTCATAAAATTTTCTTTACATTGTTAGTTTGATAAACAAAAAATAAATATTTAAAATAAAAGTATTCAGATAGTAGTTACAGGATCAATAGCTAAAATTTATTTTAGCTTAACATGTGATTTATTAAAGTGACATATAGAGTATATATTTTTACTCTTATTTAATTATTTTATAAAACTTCTCTAATTTATCACGACCTTTATACTGTTGCCATTTATCTATTCTTTGAAAAGCTCAACGTAAATTTAACACTCTTATCTCTTTAATTATATCTTCTTTTTATTGTTTTAAAAATATTTGATACACTTCTAAAGATAATAAGTATCACATTAAAAAGTTAAATATAATTTAGATATAAATAAAGATATTAATTATATTTCGTAATCCATATATTATTTTAAAATAGACAAATGAGAAGAAGAAGAAAAGTGATAACAAGACTCCAGTTCTTACGTATTTGTTTAGAGCTTTGTTCTTATTCCAGATGTCAAAGACTGAATGTAACAATTATAAATTTGATGGTGCCATGGGCATGGACCTGAATCAAAAGACAAATTGAATATTATGTCGACCATGGTCAGAGTCTTTTCTCTCTTCTGGAAGCCACGGAAACTGAAGAGAGAAAGGAACTGAGTTCAATGATTGACTCAAAGGTGGAACCCTGCCTAATGTTTTGAACAATGCCCTTACTTATCTGATCTTTCTTTATGCCTCCGCGTTTCCAGGAATAACCCATTCTACACTTTTCCAAATGTGAAAATTCTGAATTCATCTATAGATTAAGATGAAACAATATCTGGCAGTTGATCAAGATTTGAAACCGGTTTTAATTCTACTAATTTAATTTAAATTTGCGTTGTTCCTTGAAGGTGAGCTGTTAACTTGGGCTTGTATAAAAAGTTTGAGTGGACCTGGGCCTCTGTATGGACCTGGGCATTATGGACCGAAACTTTCTTTACGATTTCAACCATGTCCACACACGAAGTTTTAAAAGTTAGTGGTGTCCTAAGTGAGTTGAATTTGTCTGGCTGCTTAGCCTCGTATTGATTGACAAAAGTTCGAACTTGTGTTGTCTTCTGATGCTTCAGTGGCGCCATTTGCGGCCTATTCACTGTCCAAAATGTGGCTTAGCGCGTTTTCTAGGACTTCTTGTTCCCATCACTTCCAAGGCTGCATTGACGTGTGTTTTAAGTGTTACTAAAATGTAAGTTAAAACTTTGTCAGCATGCAAAAATCGCACTTGAGTTCCCCTTCCCCAATGTCAAAATGCCATATGATATGAGCTTTAAGGCTCTTGAATATGAACAATAAATCACTCATGAGTAATACATATTCAAGAGTTTTATGTATTTGTGTATTCATGTCACTTTTTCTATCCTTTTACATGCCCTTGACTGTATCACCATGGCATTGCACAGTTGTATGTGGCTATAAGATTTTTATTTTTGAGTAGTGTTAGATGCACAAATAGTTTCTTACTGACACGGGAATAAAATTATGAGCCATTGATTAGATAAAATAAAAAGAAAGGAAATGACAACCGTTTAGTTCTTTATCTGCAATAAAGTCTGTCAAATACTTTTTTGTACCAACAGGGACAAAAAATAATGATAAATGGTTAGCCTGATTTATGTTTTTTTTTTATGTTTCTATGTCACTGATATACTACATTAGTTACCTAACTAACCTCAGTCTAGTAGGATAGGATTACTATGAGGGAGTAAATATTATATTGGACATCTAATTGATCCAAATCAATAAAGACTATTGTTAACTCTTTGTTTATTTTGATGTATTTAGAGTGAAATTAAGGAGTAATTTAAAAAGATTTTTTTTTCATTTAGATGTTCTAAAAAAAATTGATAAAAAATATTCGAGACGAATGGGATCCAGATATTATTCTTTCTTTTTCCACCATTATTCTACTCAACCAAATAAACAATTTTTTTTAATTTTTATTTCTTCCAATTCATACAGAAGATGTTTTTTTCTCTCTCCAATTCTACTCTGTTTCATTTCACATCTTTCTTTTTTTCTTTTTTTTTTTGTTTCATGTTGATCCATGGAAAGTCTAAGGTGATTCTTATTCCAATATCTCAACTCAATTGTATTTTTAAGGATTCAAAATTGAGGCCTTAGTTAGTTAGTTAGAATAACCTTATGATTGATTTGCATTATTTTTAAAAAATAAATCTTAAAAGTCTATGGGTGCTTGATTAATTTTCGTTTTTTCAAATTAAAATTTGTTTCCAAACAAAAATCAACAGTATAAATAAAAAGTCATACATGATTTGATGTGCAAGCTAGATGCCAATGATAAATTTTGGATTTTGAAGGAATCAATTACGCGAGTTTAACATACAGGCCTAAAGTAGTTGTCAAACAAGCGAAGGGTGCCAACAAGACAGCTCGGCAATAAACGGAGTTTTTCAGAAGAGGAAATGGCATAGAAATAGAGTGAGTGACAAGGGACTTACTGCAACAATAAGAAATATTTTGAGACTAGATGATTTAACTTTTTCTTTTTGGCATAAACCATAATATATAGCATGAGTCAAGGTTATCTGCCCTTCCACTGGAAGAAATATTTGCGCGCTCATATTGGAATTATAAAAACAACGTAAATTAAAACAGTTTGAGTGGGAGCAGATACCAAAAATGGACTTAGGTAAATTGGTAATATATAAAAGTAAGTAGAAATAATATTTGGAAAAAAGCACAAGATTAGACCCGAATAATCATAACATCCCTAACAAAGGCTTAACATAATCATACATCACACCAGTGAAAGATCCTGTGTTCCTAATTTTTGGGTCCACCCAACCCCGCAAGCAGAGCTCAAAGACCACCCCTTCGGTTGTTGGTCACACTCATCTCCCAATCTAACCACTCCACACCCATTCTCTTAATTGTTGATGTGATCTTATAGAGATCAATCTCACTCCATCAAAAACGCACACACACACACACACAGTACTCAAAAACCACATGCTTGCTAGACTACACTACCTTAGTCACATAATAAATTCAGAGAAATCAAGGCCCCTTTTACTTGAGGATGCAAAAGTAGAATGTGAAGAGAAATCGCCAAGGACAAATTCTTCACCCAAACATTGCCGGAAAGCCTAAATCAAGCACTTTTTTTCTTCTTCTTCATGGTCTTCTCTCAATGAGTTAAATCCGGATAACTTGTGTTGTGTCCTAGAACAAACCACTGTACAGATGATGCTGCTAGATCAGTTGCATACCAGCTTGCTACATATATATATATATCCTCTAACATTTAATCCTATGAAGTTGCAAATATATATAAATTAATAACTAGGAGGGTAAATGAAAATCTGACTTAAGTACAAGTCAGTGAAGTACAACCCTTTGGTACTTAGCCTCTGTGGGAGAATCAGAGCCATCACAAAAGACCCTTTTTCTACTGACCCTTCCACAGTTGGTTGTGGTGCTGCTACCGTTAGTGTTAAAAAAGGAATCTTGGTGGAGGAGTTGTGGTGGAGGTGGTGGTGGTGGTGGTGGTGAAGGTATAGTAACAGGTGGAATCTCAAAGGACTCAAGTGGGGGTGGTGGGTGTCTCCATTGAGGAAGTGGTCCTGCTAGGAGAAGTGTTTGGAGAAGAGGACCAGCTTTCATCACTGCTTGTAAAAGCTTACCTTTTTCTGGTAATGGTTTGTCAGGTGTTAGTTCAATCATGGACTGTGTAACTGATGCTAATGGTGGTGGTTGTGGTGGTGGTGCCAATTGGGGTTGAGGTAAGTGCTCAATGACAGGAGAAGAAACAATGCTTTCTTCACAATCTGATGATGAGAGGCCATTGTTGGAGTCGATTCCTCTCCTTGGTTCATCTTCAATGCTAGAAATTCCAGACATATTTGCTGTTTGTTGTTGCTGCTGCTGCTGAAAAACTAGCTTCTCCAAGAGAAGTCTCTTGTATTTCTCTTGTGTTTCATCTCTTTCTCTCATGGTTTTGTTAAGCAGGTCCTTCAGGTTAAGTAGTTGATCATCCCTCTTTCTGAGTTCTTCTTGCACTGCAGCCCTTGTTTGTTCAAGCTCCAGAGTTGTGTATATGAGGGATTGCCTCAGCTCCTCCATTGACTGTATCAAACAACAATAAGGAAGAATCAGTGCTCAAATTCAAACAATTATGAACCCTTTTTTTTAATATGCCTAAAACATGCAACTAAGTGCCCTCAAATTATCAATGTATGTATTCAATGGAAATTGTTAAAGGGTATAAGAAAGTAGCAACCTTTCCCTGGAAGTAGTAAGCCCATGTTAGAAGGGGGCTACGCTGATTGTCCATTTCTCAACTCTCAGAATCACAATTGATACTTTTTTGAAAGAAAGAAAGAGGAAAGGGAAATGGAGGGAAGGGAAGAGAGGGAGTATAGAGAAAGAGAGAGAAAGAGAGAGAGAGAGGGAAGAAAAAAAGAGAGAAAAGAGTTAGGGGGGTTTTGGGTGGAGGACCAAGCTCTTTTATAAGAACTAGTCCAAGTCACTGTTTGTTCTTGCAAAGAAATGCACATAAAATCCAAAAGCCTAACAGAGGGCAAATCCTAGTACCCTATGTTCTTTAATCTATATATGAACATTACTGTGTAACTTAAGACTAGGGGTCAGTACAGTGTATTTTGATTTTCAATTTGGTGACATGTTTATGGTGGCACAATGGGAAAGAAATACTAGTAATGCCGGGAAGCATAAATAAGCAGTAAAAGCGGGAACCAAAAACCAGTATCTGTGACACGTCCTCCTCACGTCTATTACTTTGCTTTTCTAGCCACTTACATGCTATTGTGCCGTAAAAATATGTGAAAGTGACCGTAAAAACCAGTGATCCCCCTTTCAACAATACAATGAAACAATAATAAGAAGAATGAAGAGGTGAATGTGACATTTAACATAAAAAAGATCCATTATACACTAATGATAATACGATATCTGTTTTCTTTTGGAAAATGAAATTTTGTATAAATTTAGAAATTTGAAGGGGTACAAGTCTCACCAAATATTGTAGAGTTGTAATCAATTCAGGGGAAGTCTATTGGTAGGATCTATCCATATCTTTACGATAACTATATTTATATCGTATCTCCAATTTATTACTCATTACCAGTTTAGAATGAAGCCTCGCTGCCCAAACATTAAATGCTCAACATCAACATTTCAAAAAGAAAAAAACTTCCAAGTTAAAGTATTTTCTCGCAATATTTTTAAGTGTGAGTGGATGCAAACTTATCGAAGGAAAAATACTTACCATTTATTTTACAAGGAAGCTATTAATGCTTAATTTAGTGTGATAAGTATTTTTTTTATTTTTTTTTGTATTAGTGCATATTATGGATTTTTTATTATTTTTAAAAAATATAATTTTATTCATATTAAATTTAAAAATTAAAAGCAAGAAGTATTTTCAGTATAAAAAAATTATATTTAATCCATTTAACCATTTATCCTATTTGTATTTTGATTTGTAATTTATTTCTTGAAACATATGTGAATAAAACATTAATCTTTTTATAAAGCTATATATTTTTAATTCTTGTAAATATAATTAAATTTAATTTTAATCGTTTAAACTTTGTTAGTTGATTTTAGCTTCCAAATATTTAAAGGATTGAAATCGGTCCATGTTATTATTCAATATAGTAAAAGTGACGTGTGTATGTTTAAATATATGTCATGTCATTAATAAGTAATAATATATATTATTTAAAAATTAAATATAAATTTATATTATTTAAAAATAATAAAATTTGAAGATAAAATTAATTATGTTTTGAATAACTAAAAATATATTTAATTATTTAAAAAATATATTTATTTTCTTCTTATTATAATAAACTATATATTTTTCAGTTATTACATAAATTTGGTTGAAGATATTATGAAGTGTGGTTCAACTGATAATTAACTTAAGTTTTGTTTGACAAAAAAATTACCGCAAACATAAAATTCAAATCTTAACTCATCTTTTAAATGATATGTTTAGAACGGGAAAAAAATGGAGGGAAGTACATTTCTTATTATTTATATTAATAAATTTATAAAACAAAATGGAAAAGTGGAAACTATATTTAATAAATTATGTAGTATTAGTACAATATTTAATATTTGGTTTAACTTTTTTATTTTTTTATAATATTTGTAAACTTGATATTTTTTAAATTGAAAGTTATAATTCACTTATTGTTTTAAAAATTAAAAAAATATTTATATTTTTTAAAATAAATTATTAAATTTATTATTTATTTATATAAATTAACAGTAATAATTATTTTAAAGAGACATAATATATCCTCTTAATTTATAAAATACTGTAAAAATTATCTAACTTCTTATTATATTAGAACTTCTAAATTTCAATTGTGATTTTTACTTTCATTTTATATAGCAAATTAGACAAAAATTTGTTCCAGTACACCATCAAGAATAATTTTAATAAATTAGTTGTTGTGTGTTACGTATATATATATATTATCAATCTATCTAATATGAGATTCAATATTCAAATTTTATTGTATATAAATTTTTCCGATAGCAATAGTTAAAAATTACAGAAAGATATTAATTTTGAGTTTTTTTATTTTAAAAACACCTTGTAATTTTTTTTTTTACTATAAATAAAAGAAAGAAGCATGAAATCATTTTGTTGTGCACTAAGCACTTTGGCAGTATTTATTTTTCTCGTCATTGGGTGACCAAACGTGTTTTTCCTCACACGTGGGCTGCGTCGCACAGTAAATCTTTCAGTTATTTTGTTTATACTGCAAAATTCCAATTGGTTGAATTGACCAGACATTTAATTTTTTTAAAAATTATTTTAGTTTTTATAATTTTTAATTTTTAATTACACAACATCTTTTTATTTATATCACGTTACTTATCACTTTAAAACAAATACAATTAATGTATGATTCTAACTAACTATTAATAGAGATTATCTTTTTTAAATGTACAAGAACTAAAATTAAAGAAAAATATTTTCAATCACTGAAACTAAGCTCACTTTTGGGCTTACTTCTAATTTATATTCTACGTAGTTTATAACAAAGGTTTAAATGAAAGATTAACATATATAAAGTAAAAAAAAGTGCACATAATAGAACTTAGATCATGTTTATTACACAATAAAATGATTTTATAATAAACATGAAATTAAAATCTTACCATTCTTCAGACAAAAATTAACGAATTCGAATACTAATTTTACTTATAGTAAAAAGAAAACTAATTTTATAATTATAATATTACACATCTTTTTCTTGGTCGACAATTTCACCTGTTGAGTGGGGAATACTTGCCAAAAATATTGACAAAATTAAGAGGTTATGCCGAAACGATACCTGCAGCTGCCAGGTGGATGACTAGTCATTGGAGCTAAATTGAAGTTTATCAAAGATTTCAAATTAAATTATTAATCATATTAAACTATGATATAACTTCTCAATTTGAATATAGGATTCTTCTAACTTTCACTTGGGACTTGGAGAGAATTTTTGTCTGCTAGTTTAAATTAAATAATTATTTTCACGTTGAAAATAACCAACTAACCGGTTGTCTCTACATTCCCTTATATTTCTTCACCCTTGAAATCACTTTTTTTATTTTCTATTCAATAAAGTTTACCATCTTAAATTAGATTAAATCCACCTAATCAAAAAGGTATTCCAAATTTGATTCTTCATTTTATCAAAATTTCACGCGTCTATTTAACACACCTACCCTTTTAGTTTTAGGAAAATCTAATAAGGTTATGAGATTTTATCCTCCCCTTGAATTAATGTTGAGAAAACCAAGTAATTCATTAATATACAAATACGATAATCAATTTGTTATGTTTACATGAAAAGAAGCTTAAGAACTAGAAAAATACATACAAGATCGAGTTGACCAGGATAATAATGGGATGAGTTTCCCTTCGGTACTTCTCATCCTTCAAATATGAGATTTTCATTTGTTAAGCGTCTAAGATGGATGATTAAGGTAAGACCTTAAAGATAGAGTCCGAATTCCAAATTATTTGGAAACATTTTATTTTCACGTAAAAATATTAATAATATATATGATCAATATATATATATATATATTGTATTTTTTATTAAATTTTAAATGATAATAAAGTATATACTTAAAAGAATATGTTACTAATATTTTTTATATGATTAATTTTTATCGTTAAATAGAGTTGTTTGTTTCAATATGTTTAGCATAAAAACTGTCTTATAATTATTTCATGAAGAATGTTAACAATATAGTCTTTAACACATTTTTATTGTTGACTAAAATTTATTATAAATAAAAAAATGAAAAAAATATTAACTTAAGAGTAAAAAATAATGAAATTCATATAATTTTTTGTAATTTTTAATAAATTTTAATTAATAATAAAAATATATATTCTTTTAAATCAAGTTAACATTTTTTTTTGGCAATCTATTACTTTTTATTTTGGATTTTGTCATAGAAGTAAATAAAAAGTACAAAGAGAAATCATAGAATATACAGTGTGTGCAGAACTTCTCTTGGACCTTTCCATACTACTCTTTCCTGATCTTGAAAGGTAATCATACATAATCCAGATCGCTAAGCGTGCTTGTAATCAATAAGTAACCCTTTAATTTCTTGACTTGCATTTTGGTATGTAATATGAGAGTCCTTGATTTTTTTAAAAAATAATTAAGAAAAAGAAAAGCAGCATGGTTTTCTCAGCACGTCTTTTTTGACAAACCAAGTAAATGAAAGAAAATATGTAATATCAAACAATCTCTTTGCACTCATCTTTGACTTGATAAGTATCCCTACATGTGCTTAGTAGACTACCTCAGAATAATAGATATTACTAATTTCTATCTTTTTCTGTCTCACTCGGCATGGCAATATCAATATAGGGGTCAATGGATATTAGTTTTATTGGTCAGAAAAAGGAGCTGGTAACCAAACTTTCCCACCAATATTTGTCCAAAGAAAGGTAATGGACCCCTTTGAAACAATAAAGTCCTACTGGAAGGAAAGCAAAGGGCTTCCGTTTGACTTAATCAAGACCCTAACCCTCAAGTTTGTAGGAACATTAATGCCATTTTGATTAAGTTTGCAGGGTATCCTACATCTTATTATAATATAATAAATCCTATGTAGCACAAGACACGTGGACGGTTTCAGCCTTGAAGCTAGACAACCAAATGTTTAATATTAGTATTTTTGGTGACTTTAATGTTTAATAATTTACAATGACCGATGGCCGTTAAACAAATGATGATGAGGGTAAATTAGTTAATTCGTTTATGTGTTATCATATAGATCACCTACTAATTACATATTTATCATAATTTTTTCACTTTCAAGAAAAAGAAGAGTAAATCCAAATGGATAATACAAAGCCCAAACCCAAAGGGAATAAAATGGGGCGCCGCGTCTTTATGTCCCATCTTGATTTTGATTTATGTCTATGCAATTTTATTTTACCTTTCTCAAAATTACTTGCATGCTCAAGTGAGCCAATCAATGTTTAGGAAGCGGCATATTTAAGCATCAGCACAAAGGACACCTTAATTTGTGAATAAGCTTGCTGGGTG